GAGGACAGGTATATCAAATGCCACTCTCAGCTGGCATCAGCGTAACATAATTTCGGGGAGAGCTTTTCCAAGTACCGAGCAGGCGCGTGTTGCGATAAAGTGTCTTGGGCAATATGACATTCAGAGCTGCTCGAAATATATGGCACTTGTTCCCGCGCGCCAACACTGCCAGATGCTTCCACTCTCTCTTGTAAGTTCATCGACTTTTTTCGTCATTGAACGTCAGGCTGCAGCTGTATCGACGCTGCGCCGATCAGAGTACATCAGTCTTGGAAAAATCGTTTGTGCCAGACTACGAAAAAACGAAAAAACGAAAAAACGAAATAACGACGAGCTGGAAATAAATTAAAAAACGAAATTCATCTCCGCCTGAAAATATCCCTGAAAATATAAAATATCCTCTTTCGGCCGCCTAAACCACCTGAAAAAGGCGCCCATCTCTCTCGCTAAATTCCAAGCAAGGCCCCCCGAGAAGAAGAAGAAGAAGAAGAAGAAGAAGAAGAAGAAGAAGAAGCTGCAACAGCAGTAGCAGCATCGCCAAAGGAAGATCGAATTCGCTCGCTACGGAAAGAGGAGACGCACGCGCCCGCATTCTTAAATGCGAGGACGACGCGCGAGATGAATACTCAACGAGTTTCGGCGTGCGCGAGCTGCCGTGTGTGCGCTCCAAGCTCTCTTGCAGATTGAATCGTCCTGTGCAACGAGGACGAGAAACGGCTTCAGCACGCTGCAATCGTCTGCTAAGCAGTGCGCTTACTGGCTTCTTAGCCCGCCTCGTGATTAGCTTTCCTCTACTACTGCGCGCTGCTCCTGCTTTTCAACTGACGCAAGCGTTCCGCAAATTGGCCCACCCTGCCAATTGATTTCTATCCACAATTGTCGTACGAGCTTTTTTCACTCTCCTTCCTCTTTTGTTTTTCGCAAGCTTCCACGCGTTGCCCTCGGCTCGCCATTTTCGATTCTCCTTGCTCCCTCCCATCTACTGCCACTTACTCGTCTATCCAACTGCTGGCTGTTTACTCTGTCTCCCTCATTCTACTATACTCCGCTTTTGTGCGCGCAACCTGCCGCGTTATGTGCTTTCTCTCGTTGCGTCTTTCTCTCCTCCAAGAAACCTCGTATATGCGCGCATTGTGCGTGCTTTCACAAAAGGACTGAAAGCAGACGCGAGACTCGTCTTCAAAATTGCAAAAAAAGTCATTTACAATACTTTGTGCTTCCGTGCAACGTTCTTCCTGCTTGCTTGCAGCCTGTCGTAATATTAGATTCGTAAGGATGCATGACGGAAAGATTGGCTTTTTTAAATGTTTGAACGAAGCTAATCATATAGTTTGTTTGCACGGAGCTGCTGTTTTCTCATCAAATATTGACATTCGAGTGTTCAAAAAAAAAAAAAAAAGTTCGAGACAGTTACGTTATCGGAATAAGAGTTCCAATGAAAACTCTGCACTGTATTTCTACCTGTCATACATATATCGCGATATTGAATCTAAATATTGACCGTTGCTCGCTCTTCTCAAGGCTATCTGTAGGATCGTCAAATAATTTTATTTTTTCGAAATAAATGACGATACTTGGATACAATATATGAAACGCTTTCAAGACAGGCCAAAATATGTACAAGACACTTTTGAGTGGCAAAAGGCAAACTCGAGTTGATAGGGGGCAAAAATGAAAAAAGAGAAATCGAGGCCAATCGATCAGTGAGAAAGCACCTCGAGTGCGTTCGCAGATAACAATCTTCCCTTTTTTTCTCAACGGTCATCGTGGCAAAAGTGAAAATCGCAGTTGCCGTTGGCTTGCCTCGAGGACGAATATACAATAGAAAAAGTGGAAGGTGATGAAAAAAAGCATCTCTCTAATCTCGGCTACAGTCCATCCTAGAACGTTAAACGGTGAGCGCCGCCGAATGTCAATTACGATCGAGGTCTCGATTATATTAATGCGTCCGTATGTTTACGGACAAATTGAATTATCGTCGAGCGTCGATTACGCGAGTCTAGGCTCGTATCATCGTCTATCATCGCTAGTGACTTTTACTAAAAATACGCCGAGTGGTCAGTGTCGTTCGTGTCATCATTTATTGCATTGAGTTGATACACTTGGCATCGAATTTTACACCTACGCCGATCCTCATATAACTGATACACTTCTCCACTCACGGGAGCATTGAACGTGTCTTAATACTAAAAATATATCTGTACTGGATAACATAGCACTGGAAATTTTTCAATTTTTCAATTCAATTTTTCAATACATCCATTCTATTTATTAATATAGCTTAGAATATTTATACACAAGAAAATGAAATCCAAGCAATGCTGCATTCAGACTACAGTATTTTAGTTCTACTCGTGAAATTGAAATTATTCACAAGATCAATTTTAACAAAAACCTTGTGAATTTTATGATTAAGAATCGATTGAATATACTAAATAAACATGTTGACATCATTGACAAGTTTATTTCCAATTAAAACAAGCATCGATATTCCAATGAATTGTCGACTGACGATTCTCGCGAAAGATTCAAATAATTGATTAGACGAGTTTTAGTCGATCAGCCCTGAATGTCCTGCTGAATAGTTGATCGAAGCCTTTGCTAATTCCATTTTAACTACAAATCTGAGACACGCTAGAAAAACATATATATAGAGTGCGTCTCGAGTGGCATAATCAGAATCATCAAGAATTTCGAGGGTACGGCAAACACGCATATATACACACAGAGACGACCGAGAGTTAATTTTATGTAAAATTCAGTAGCGGTGGCGACAATTTACTCACGCACTCGTTCGTTTACATCGTTTTGCGTCACGTTCGTCGTTCTGCTGCTGCTGTACTTAACGGAAGGCAAACACGCACGTCGCCAGGTACTCAAGTGCCTCGACGGAGTTAGACACTTTGCTTTTAACTCTCTTTCTCTCTCTTTCTCTTTCGCTGCACTTAACTCTCGACCATCATGATCCAGCACAAATCCACGCATCCAGATTTTAGCTTTTAAGCGAAGAAAAATTTGCTCATCTACGTTTTCCAATTAAATTTTACGCTGTCTCAATTAGCAAAAAATGTAGCAGTCATGTTCTCGTATAAAGTTGGAAAGTTTATCTGGACCTGTCTTCCGATGCTGACACGAGAGCGAATCACACCACGCATATAGGTATCGAATGTCTTGGAGGTGAGATGGAATCATCTTTATAAAATAAAAATAAAACCTGGACTCGACCTTCTAAAGTTAATCCGTGTTAATAGATTCTAATTTATGAATTAAGAATCGTCCAGTCTGTATACAGAAATTCCATATAATATCTGAAAATGTCTCTGCAGGGAGGCGTACGAAAACCTCTGAATCGGAATGTTTCTTTCTTTCAAAGTTATATCTTCTAACTGCAAAGTGTTAAAATAAGCACGCGGATACAGACGTTTAAATTGAAGACGTGACGTAGAAAAAAAGAAAAAAGAAATTAAGAGCAATTTTCGCGCTGGCTCGATGCTTAATTACAAGAGCCAAACTTGGACTGTTGCGTTTTGGCCATATATAGCGAAAAGCCGCCATACGACGACAGAATCGAGTGTTCGTTAGCGCGGTGCTTGGTTTTCAGACGCGGAAACATATATGATATAAATCGGTTTCACGCCCGTTTCGCGCGGAGATCAACCTGCTCGGAATAAAGAAAAAGAACAAACAAAAAAGAAGCAGGAAAGCAGATCGGCCGCCGACTGAAGGTTGACGCCAATTAAGTGGCTAATTCGCTCATTAACCATCGCGCTCGTCTCTTCTTGTGCTTGGAAATGAGAAGAAAGAAACGAAACAAGAAATTCCGACTGTCTCGAATTTTTATGGTGGTATCTCACGCGATGCACGCGAGGTAAAAACATAACGATGCGCCTCTTTTTCTCGCTGATATCGCCTTTGGAAATATATGTGGGGGCGCTCCTCCGCGAGCATTTCGAATGAGGCGTTTGGGGAACTCGGTCTATTAAGCGGGCCGCAAGATAATATATGAATAATAAAAAAGAAAACAACATCGCACCTTGTGAATCTTTCGTCGATGCGCTGCGTCTGCTGATCTGAAACTCTCGAAAAAATGGCGCGTCGATTGATATACGGAGGACATTCCAAACTATATGCGACGTGTCAGTTTATGCTGATAACGTCCGAGTTTTAAGTGCAAACGTGTGTTCATTTTACCTACAAAATTCTCCTAGATTTCCATCAGAATTCCTAATTAGTTCTAGACTCTTGACTCTACCGCCATTGCAAATATGCGCAATGCTACGCTGACGAGCATTCCGATTTTACGTATTCGTCGCAGAGCGATGTCGGCTGCTTTTATCATATCAACGCGAGGAGCTGCCGAGATCAACAATCAGTCAGTGTTCCACATGTAGATTTATTTACGACGGTAAATAAAATAAAGCCTGATGATGATGCGACAGAGAAAAAAAAACAAAAAAACAAGCTGATTAATGAACCTCATCACGTAGCAGATCCAGATGACAGCTCCGCTATAATAAATTTGCTAGAACGGCTGAGATAGTAAAACTTTTATGAAACTTTGTCGAAAGCATGAATTTGAAAATAGCAAGAAAAGTGGGAGTTAATTGCGACGGCTAGTTGGATGTGCGGACGCCTCGTAATTTAGACACATAAGAAGCACACAGTCTTGAAAGATTCCGTTGGGGAACGTGCACACGACTGGTCTCTCTATTTTTAAGACCGAACAAAAAGGACAAATCGACGGTCAAGGTAACAAAATATCATAAATTGCAGCTCTTTCGCTTCGATCGTCCGTAAAAAAAGAGAAAGAGTCTCTCTTTTTATTTGGCCAGTTTGAAATTCCGCGTGTGACCGTAAACCAAACGATCGTGCCCCGCAAATGGCCATTAATATTCATAGAGTGAAGAGATCAGGCAGCGTAAAGCGGTGGAGCTATTAGCGCACGACTCTTTGAATAAAAAAAAAAGAAAGAGATGAACGAATCGCTGTGCATTACTCACTTTCTGCCGCTCTCCAGGAACTTGTCGAACTCTACGGACATTTTGCAACAGAGGGCCCGACGGTTGTGCGAAGACGAACACTTGGTATTGATCATGTGACCATCTGCAAAAAGCAAGCGATAAAGAAATATTAATATTCTCACCTTGTTTATATTCCCTTTCAGAAATTTACCCCTACGGAAGATTTCTATCGGGTGCAAATCGTTGGAATAGACGGCCAGCCAAGATTAAATCGTCGTATGACTTAATTATGCTTTATGGGCATAACAGCTTTTTCGACTTAAAAGCTTTTCCTGGTTCGTTCTTTTCTCTCCACACATAAACCTAACTGTTTCTAATCCCCGTCGCATATTTCATATATTCTCAGGCAAAGGCCACGCAATGCAGACAATTTAACCATTGACAATTCTTTAACGAAAAATTTCCATTTCTCACCGAAACTAACAAGCAAGCGAATCTATTTAGAAGAGACACGGGCCATAGTGTCATGTCATGACGAAATCATCTCAACAGATATCTTAGGAGGCTTATGGAACCCTGGGCTGACTAGCCACTCTCTTCGGCAATGCGCGGACACGATGTCTACTTGAGTTGCTACGCAGTCGGTAGATCGATTACTCGGGATTTCCCTCTGAACCTGGCGCAGTGGTAATCTATTTAATCAACTTGATTTAATTTGATAAGTTTTACACCACAATAGCTCGCACGCGCGACAACCGCAATTACCATTGCCGTACACCGAAATAACGAATCTTCTCCCTTCCGTCCGTGAAACGGCGCTCGGCGACGAGCAATTAATTACGCAAGCGGGTTAATAGCCTCGTCACCTCTTTGCTGCAGTAGCACGGCCTAATTAATTAATTCGCGTTGCGACTACTAGATCGACCTTCCCCGCTCATTATAAGCACCAGGTGCACTCTGACTTCAAAACTAGAACTCACTCGTGTTAAACAGACCATTTGATTAAACGAGACGCCAGAATACACATGACGTGACGCCAGAATACACATCGCGTGTAATTCGACAAAATAGTGGCTCATCGGGCTCATGTATTTACGCGCGAGAAGAAATTGATTGCTTATTCCGACGCAACGTTCAACACCTCTTTCTCGCGCAATATGATGAAAACACATAGCAGCTGGCTAAAGTGCCAGGTAAATTACGCGAGGACGAGTGCAAAGGTAATCTTGGAAGAGATGAGCAATGGACGATACAAGTCATGCATAATGTGCCAAGCTGCTCTCTCCCTTTTTTTGGCCTAAGGCCTTTTTTGAAGAGCTATTACAGAGTCGGGTCAAATGTCGGATGCAGACAGGCAGCAGCTACAGCCTCGAGGCTCGCGTGCTCTTTCATTTTTTATCTCTTGCACGCTACCTTCTGCCTGCGCCGAGTCGGTCTTTTAAACTCTCGGCGAGATTTTCGCTTCGCACGCGCGGATCGATGTCAGTGTGTCGTCGTCGTCTTCCGCGGGTCTAAGCATTTTGCCAGTTTTTTTTTCTTTAGTGCTTCCATTTCAAGAATTGATGACAATACTCACTCGTTTGATTTTGGTAGTAGGGATCGTCCCTGTCCGTGAAAAACCACGTCTGTAACAAAAGAATAAATTACCATTAATTTGTCATGCCTTCAGAAAGATACGATTGCTTTCTAGCAAAACAGATATCGCATTTTTTCATATCACGCGGCATGCGATTTATGAGCGCACAGAATTTGGCTCTTTGTGTCGTTCGGAAAGAGTTCAACGCCATGTGGCTTGCTACTATAAAGTAAGGGAGCCATCAGACTCTATTTTTAGAATGCTGCCGAGCAGTTAAGAAATTTCGACTGAGCCAAGGAGAAAGACTTATTACTGGCGCCTTGATCATTTATCAAAATCATCAAGAGAGAACAATAATTTAACTCTCGAGAAGTAATCCTGGATTTAATCCGGTTTAATCTCATTTTCAATATCATTCAATTCATCGTTCTAAATCAGCTTCCAAATTGTAACTCGATTCATCCGCTTATCGATCACAAGTTTATTTTTTACACGCAACATCGCTGACATCGGCTCTCTATATTTCAACAGAAAAGCCGCACGAGAAAAAACGAAAAAACAAAGTGCAACAAAAGTAGGACAGTCGAGAGCGAGATTGCACGTGATCAAATAATCCGTTGATTTATAAAGTAGAATACCTATTTGACTAGAGCAGGTCACTGTCCTCCGCGCATGCTTTTGACGCACTGCACCCATTGCAGCTCGTCTACTTTAGCATTCAGTTCACAAAAGTCATAAATTCAAAAAATAAATTCATACTCTCTCGTTTATCTGACGAAAGAGAATGAAGGATGTGTGATTTGAAAAATGAAAATGCGTGCTTTGTGCCAATATCATTCTGTCGAGTGCTCGGCTAGATTTGGTTTGAAATGTGTTTGAAATGTGTTTGAAAGCGGCGAAGGACAACGGAAGCCTATTCTCCAAAAATAGCTTCGTTCAAACTCCAACGCCCTCAGCAGCGCAGAAAGAGTTGCCCTTCGATCCGTGGTTGTCACCTCGGCAACGATTCACGCTCGCGCCACGCCAACGACGTAAACGAGCCCGAGTACTCGTTCTTTTTCACGCACACGCACGCGCACGACTCGAGCGAGCAGGTGTAGCGTGCAGCTGAGGAATCCACGAATTAAAACGTCGCGGCCGTACGATAAAGTACGCGACTGCACAAAACGTCTTCGGCACGGCGGCGGTTCGATCGGCAATGTAGGCAAAATTGAGAGCGGAGAAGGAGAAAAAAATTGTAGCTGGGTGAACGACCGCGCCCTGTGTGCAGGTGCCACGGCTGCCGCTATCCTTTTTATCGATCCTCCCCGAACGCCGACGACATCGAAACCTCATTGTGCCTGCTCGGCTATCTGGTGCAGATGAAACTCTTATTTGATATGCAAATTTCAGAGCGAGCGAGCGAGCCAGCACGAGGAATTTTTATACGAGAGCCTGCTTCAATCCTTTTAATTGAAGCTTTTGTCGTCTAACGTTCTAAATGTTATCGTCGCAGCAAATGTGCGCGGAGATATAGCTGCGTGTACGAAGTTTGTAAACGCGGATGGAATCTCTCACGTGAAACGAGATTACAGTGTTACATTACGCAGATTTGAATATGCAGAATGCAGAGCGCAATATTTATTTATCAAAGGTAACCTGGAATTCATATTTATGTGCTCTTTTCAACGTAGAACATCCGCCAAATAAAATGCAAAACGAGCAGTTGTCCGGTGTTAAAAACAACCGAGCGAACGTAGCACGAGGCACGTCGTAGAAATGAAGACGAAAAAAGAAGAAGCCAACTCACCAAATAGGCGGCAGAATGCAGCGTGTCGCAAAAAGACAAGTGGCAGCAAGTGAAAAGAAAGTGTGAAGAATCCGATAGTAGATATGAGATAGTGCGAGCTTGGAAATAAAGCAAGATCGAGGGGGTCAATCTCGCGCGAGGAAGCTAGATGCTGATACGAGCGTTCGAGGAACGAAAGCGAGAGCGCTAACGAGACAAGAGAGACAGAGACAGAAGAATCTGATCTCTCGCGCGGCACACGATTAATGGGTTTAATTGCGAAACACGCGCGCTCATACGTAGCCTCCTTCTTTCACGCGCATGGCATTTGAATCGACTTGATTACTCTTTCCACATTTCCTTTACTTCTACGGTACGGACGGAGTGCCGAGTGCCCGAAAAGCCGAGGATTATCGAACTTGCGTATAGAAAACGCACCGTAGTAAGCGTGCAAATTACAATTTGCGGGAGCAATATTAAATAAAGTTCCGAGAGCATTGCTGCTCATGGGCAATATTAACGAAATTTCAATCATGCAAATTTTCTAATTATATTTCGCCCAAGAAATTACATAGATTTATTTTGAATTTGCGTAAGGCATATTCAAAGGATTCGAAAAAAATAAATCATTCCATACTTATTCTACTTGATTTTAAATTGACTGAGCTCAAGCAATCGGTATATAAAATTTTCAAGTACGATAGACACGATAGAGGAGCAAGCACATGTTACAAGTAAGAAAAGTGAAAAGCCTGTATCAGTACTGTATAGGTCAATCGTGTGCTATGCAGGCGGTAGAAAGAAACGAGTTTCTCCTGTTGGACGAGTAGTAGCGTCAAGTTGTTCCTCCGAAAGAAAGAGAGCAAAAAAAGAAAAAAGACATACACCCTTTGTCCCGAAAAAAGGGAGCGAGCGAAAATAAGGGATCAAATAAAGCAAAGGTAATTGACCAATTATCGCGGCGCAGTCGAGGCCTCGTGAAAATTGCCAGTGGCCTGGGCGATCGAATTTGGCCAAAAAGCCCGAGAGTCGATAGTCACTGCGAAGATAATAGCGCTAGTGTGTTGGTGTGTGTGTGCTCAACCAACAGCACTTTCTTTCCGAGTCGCGCACTGTGTTTCGTTATGGCTATGGCTGTGGGCTTGCGTGCTGCACACACGCACGCGCGCGCGCGCTCGGTGCGCTGTTTACATCACCGCGGCCACTGTTTCGTGATTTACAATTCGAGAGCATAATAACAGAACGTTGAACACAGTTTTTTTACACCTCTCGCGGACAAAAGCCAAAAAATCAATACAATCATGCAGCAATCGCAGCCCCCTGCAAGCTTCATTTCGACCAAATTACAAAAATTGATTTCAAAATGAAATTATTCGAAATGTTAGGGTATGCCTTTATCGCTTGGCAGCAGTCGCGAGCCAATTCCGCACGATGACTTTGGAGAAGTCGTGTAGAGAGCTCGATTTAGCCTCCGTCGTCGATTTTCAAGATGACTTTTAGGATTTCTTCCGTCCTGTTCAAAGCGGATTCGCGTTTCTCTTCTTTCTCCTTCCACGCAATAGGAAATAGCAGTCTCGTGACAAAAAAAAAACTTTGCTTTCAATGCAAGTCTCTGAACTTTTCTAAGAGTTTTAAAAGACCTTCGCGGACCGAAGGTAGTTTTTCCGAGATATGAAATTACACAATGCTGCACAAACAGAAATCTGATGCGATTATGACGAAGGTGGCGAACGAAATAACAAACAACCGCGTATCGATAAAAATCGCGTTGTGCCGGTACAAAGCCCAACACCTCCCTCTTCCTCTGTTGTTCGATTGAGAAAGTCTCTCTCTCTCTCGATTGGTAGCTTCCCCTCAATTTCGCCTTGGCGTAAGGCAAAACCTCTGATTACAGCAGGCGATCTTGGTACCTCTCTCTCTCTCTTTCTCCCGCTCTCTTCTGCGCCGCTGCGCATTCAATTTTCGCTCTCGGTGCAGCGCGCGCGCATCGCTTAATTATCGGCAGAGAGTACTGTATAGCGAAGGGGGCAACAACAAAAATCGCGCGCGCGGCTTGAGCGTCATTTCGAGAGTTCGCTCGCGCTCGCGCGCAAAGAGGAAAACGAGTGAGAGAGGTCGAAGGTAAAAAGCCGTGAGATCTTCCCACGAGACTGACTTCTTCTTGTTATTCGCGGTCCGTTTGAGACTTTGATGGATTGGAAATAAAATTTGCTTTCGCAGAGACGATCGTCTGATCGAGCATGCCACAGCCTTAGCTGCTTGACAGTTGCGTGGGTCCACCACAAGTTTCGCAGCGATATTAAGCCAATTCCTACACAGTCCGTGTCAACCATCTCGATACGAGATCGCAAAAAATAACTCGTGTGCGACCACGATCCCAGACAATAAAAGCAATCCGAAAAAGAAAGAAAAGTGTAGCTAAAAACAGAAGGAAAGAAAAGTGCGGCTAACCGAGGTAGCCAAGCGCAAGCGGACATGAGCGCTGGAAAGCCATTTCCCGCCTGGAGCGCGAGAGCGGTGAGAGGAGCTGAACGAAGAAAGCTCGGCGTCACGTCCGTTACATCCGGACTGCTCTTCCGCGTTGGAGCTCGTATCAGCTCGTTATCATCGGTCTCCGGGGGTCCCCTTGACACCTCCGTATAACTCGTGCCCCCACGCTGATGCTCGATTGGCCGACAGTGCGCGCAATTAGCCGCTATGCCCGATACCGATCGCCAACCCACGCCGCGTGCATGCACCACACGCATCACCAATCTCGCTCTGTCTTTGCGCGGTGAAAGGATGCGCGCGTGCAGTGCCAGTCGTGCCGTAACCGACACGTGTCGACGCACTCGACAGCGAAGTAAGGTCGGAAAGGTGCCGCTAGAGAAGAGACCGCGCAAATCCTAACCCGTACCTTATCGATCCGAAGTAGTCAAAGTTGAAATTGGTCAGGCGCAAGCTTCAGTGAGTACCAACACAGTCCATTTATTTTTCCATCGAAGATTAACCACAGCGACCGCGATTCGAGCGCTTCGTCGTCGTGCGATCGCAGCTCCTCGATATTTTCCGAGGCAATCATTCCTATCGGGCAAGCTTTCGGCTTGGACAATTCCCAAAAATTCAGTTCGCGGCTGCTACCTCGTGTCGACCCAAGCAAATGTCGATGTAGCAAAATACCCAAGACGCCCAAGACGCCCAAGACGCGGACGAGCGCGCATCGCTTTACACGCTCGCAATTACACGAAGATAGCGAAAAGAGAAAGGGAGGCGAAGGTGGGCATTGTCTACACGCATGCTCGCGCTTTTTCTCACGCGCGCGCGCGCACGCAGAGATTTGCCTGTGTGCGCCTCCTTGCCTTGACGAGCCTCCTCTCGCGGTCCGTACGTGCGTTTCGTGGGAACGCGGAATTTATGCTCGGCGTATAGCTTACTTCCCTTATTTTTGCGGGGCGTAAGCAAGAGCTTCATTAAAAGGTTGCGTTTTTGCGGGCGGCATTGCCAAGTATCATAAAGAGTAAAAAGGTTTAACGTCTGCAAGCCTGCAAGCGCCGCCGACGCCGTGCGAGCTCGTATACCGATCGCCTTCTCTTTCCCTTTCCGCCGCCTGCACCGATGCCAGTCGCATGGCAAAAACTCACTCGCTCTCATTTGCATTTCAGTGGGCTAGTTGAGCCGTACTTTCTTGCTTTTGCCAGGATCAAGCTTGATTTAGCCAACGGAGAGCTTGCGAATGTTGCGTCTTCGACTGTTCGTGCAATTTGTAATTCGTCAATGTCGCCAAGCAAGAGAAGCAAAAGAAAGCCGATAATTCGCGCGGCCAATAAACCGACGATATCTCGAGCACGCTGCCTGTAAACGTATAACGGCTGCGAGAGCTTGGCGCAGTTTGACGTATTATTTCCGGCCTTTCTTCGTTGCCGACTTATATACCCATAGATGTGTGCACATGAGTATTACACCTAGCTCGTGCAAGCTGACTATATAGAGGCATCACGTGTCCGAAAGCCGCGCTACGCAAGGGAAAGGCTAATTTACGAAGGAATCGAAGGCGAATCTGTTGCTGCGCGTGTGCTTCTAACGCGTAACGTTGCGCGGCACCGGCTTTGAAGCTTCAGCCGTACGATGCAGGCAAGGCGCAGATAAGCCGCTTATCCAACTATTTTCGGTATGGCAATCTTGAACGAACCTGATCTTTGGCCAACTGAAACCAGCTGTCGATGATGGCGGGCAGCCTCGAGTGGTGATAGTGTCGCGTAGTCTTCACGCCGATGAAGACGTCGACGAGATCAGTGGAGAACGGGGCCATGGTGGCAGTGGCAACGGACGGCGTGACCGCCGCAGGTTCCTCGACTAAGAGTGTCGAGCGAGCCGCCGGCACCGCGCCGAGTCCCAGCAGACGTGGCATCGGCACCTCCGGCGACGCGTCGCCGCTTATCTCCTCGACGACACCTTGATCCTCCACCCACTGTCAACACGTGTTTAACTGTGAATCGGCTCTGTCGTGGCTGCTTGTCCAACCGAACCTCGCTGTTCATTCGTCAAAGTAACTATTTTCAGAGCGAGGCGTCGGGGAACAAAGACGCGAGCATTTTTCGAACGTAAACAAAGCGCGAAGGACAAAGACAACGAAAGCGATCTGCCGACTGTATGACTGACGCCTGCTCGTATTAAGAGGCACGTTAAGCACGTTAGGCACCTTTTCGGTGACAAGAAAACAACTCGCGTCGCTTATATCATTCGGAAAACGGTATAAATTCGCTTACAGCTGGGCAAACGCGAGTGGCCGATAAAGCCAACATACCTGTCTGGGCGCGACAGCCTGGTAGAGCAGAACGGTAGCGTAGGCGGTGGCGATGAGTAGCACGAGGGCTTGCAGTGCCCGGCGGCCAGGCAGCAACATTTGTCGTTGGCGCATGCCCTGGCCGCCGCCTTCATCCGAGGCGCAGCTACAACAGTCGTCTTCTTCGCCTACTCGTTCTCGCTGGGGGTGCAGTGGCCGTTTATCCTCCCAGGCCCAACCACTGATGCACGTGATTTCGGGCAGGCTCATCGGGACTGGCGCCTAGCAGCTCCAATGCCGGAGCTGCCGACATGTGCTGTCAATCGCACTTTTCTTCACGATGACTGCTTGCGCTGACGTCGCTTTTCTTTTCGTTCGAAACTTTCTGCCGATCACGGTTCGACACTCGCGATCACCTCATTTGCGGCTTCGATTGTCATGTGCAAGCTGTCAACAATTTAAACTGCGTCGTGCGCGCAACGCATGCGCGCTCGACAGTCGCGGGCGGAGACGCAAAGCACAACAACGAACGATAGTCGTGCCGCGCCGACGGACGACCACCGACTGAACTCGCGCGCGCGACCGGCGTAAATACACAGCTGTGCTTGCTGCGGCAGACTTGCTTCTCAGTGGGGTTGCAGCGAACGAGAGAGAGAGAGAGAGAGAGAGAGAGCGCCAGCAGGTGACTTGGTGGGGATCTGCACACACATACACAGTGCGACGACCAAGGCTCATAGGCTTTATATCGCGGAATATCGCGGAACTGTTAGCAGCTCCTTTTTTTACTCTCTCTCCCTCTCTCTCTCAACTTTCCTTGAGGCACCGGTGTGGGTGAAACACGCTGGATGAGTGCCTGCACGTGCCTTCTAATGTCCTAGCTTAGAACGTGTTTTCGACTCTCGCTCGCTGTACGCCTTTGCTGTTATTGTTTGTTCACTAATCCGCACACGCGCAAAACGGGTTTGATTGACTGCCACTGGCAATTATGGTATACAAATAAAAAATCAAATCTTTGACTAAGCTCACTTTTTGATTGTTCATTTTGGCGCATACAATATGTCAACATGGGAACAAACTTTTAGAATAAATTCAATATCGCGCATTGATTGACGTTGTTTCGCTCTCGGATTGGTCAAAAATTTATTTTTGACAAAAAGGAACTGTTACCAAAGATTTACTGCTATAATGCGATATATCTCATCACTTATATATATAAAACATGGCAATGTAATCAATACTTTTTGAAGGAAGTCGAAAGTCTGAAATTTTCTGAATCCTCAATAACTTGCTACATATGATAATATTGATTAATACTTAATTTAAGAGTTCACTTAATTCCCAAAGTTTATCGAAATAGCGCATAATTGATCGAATTACATGCTATATAGTAGCAGATATGAAGAGAAATTTTAATTAAACATTAGAATTATACAAGTTTGAAAACAAAGCTGATTATAATGGATTGCAGATTGCATTAACTCTAAGTTATTGTAAAATAGAAGAGTTGATTGAAATTTCAGAGTGCACCAATCAACATAATTGTTTTATCAAAGACGACTAGTTGTAAGAGGAACAGTATGAAATTTTCAATCCTTGATTTCTCTGCTACTTCGACGGATATTCCTAGATTACTGTATATAAAAATTTCATGTCCAACAAGCGCATTAGGCGCGTTTGTCGATTCATAATTTATTTAACTTTTCATCTTGATTGGAATTTAAAATCAATTATTTGAACTTCGATAGGAGTCTATCGAATAGTATCGTTTAACATTCTTTTCAGCCAAGACGGCAATAATAGAGTTATTATGTACAGAGGACACTTAATCGGTAACGTGGTAGCTTACGCGCGAGTAGCGCCACGGCCGTACAGGGTGGCTATTACGGTGGACGTTGCGTCATCCTCAGCCGCCGTACTGAGCTCGTAACATTCGACGATTATTCATCCTCAACCGCGTTAAACTCGATACAGCGACTTACGGCGAGTCACTCAGTCGTGTTCCGGGCTACCGTGAAAGGCATATATTAGCGAAACGGCTAGTACAAAGGACTCAAAACCAAAGCAATCCGCGCTAACAGCAGTGCAGGTCTGTACCGTTTGGTATTATCAATTTAGGAGAAAATAAAAAGATGGATAACTATAAAATCTGTGGGTAATTGCGTTGCAAGCAACTTCGTTACTGATTGAGTGTCATCTGTATGATAACTCGACCATGGCCTTGCCAAGATTGAAACATTTTTTAAGCACCATAAGCCAGACACAGTACGATTACGGTTGAAGTTACGTTTGCATCGCGGGATTATAAAAGTTTCGACGCTCGCTGCTTCGGGCTTAGACTATCCTGCCCTGCAAACATCCTCCTCAACCGTAATCATGCTTAAGATACATAAATAACTAATATTACCTCGTTTGCAAATTTTATTATTGTTTGTTTTATAAGAAGAAATAAAAGCGCTGTAGCTTATCTATATGAAAAAAGTGGTAATACATTAATAAAATATTTGCGGAACTGTATGTGAGATAAATCAGAAAATCTTTCATATCCGGACTTTCGAAGGAATTTGGTGCGCTGAATCCAAATCTGAACTCAGAATTACTCCATCACCCTCAGTTTTCGAGATATCCTAACCTAAAAGCGTCATAAACTCGTTTTTTTGCTGTTTTCCATCCCCGACAACTTTGTGAAAAAAATGTTTTTTGCAAATTTGACGACGGTATTTTAAAGAATAACTCTTGCCCTTCAAAACGCACTCCTCATTTTTCTAATATCATTTTTTCGACAGAGATATAACACATTAAATGATAAATTTGCATTTAAGCAAAAGTTTAAACAGAGGAATGTTTCGCTGAAAGATAACAGTGATAAACCTTGCAAGGTACAGCATTAGTGGGTTAAAGAACATGGATGTAGTGGTCGGGGGTTATTGCAGAGTACAGGAATCTTGGGTTGAGGTACTTTGGATGTAGCGGGCTAAGGTTATTGCCTATCAGGATAGAGGAGTTCTTTTTTACGGTACTTGGGATATTATTTTTTTTAATGTAGATTATCTTTAAGGGAAACTATACTCTGCTTAAATGACATTTGCAAAAATGCCAATTTATCATACTTTATTGTCATATCTCTGTAAAAAAAATGATATCGAAAAAATGAGTGCATTTTAAAGAGCAAAAATTGCTCTTTAAAGTACAGTCGTCAAAGTTGCAGAAAAATATTTTTTCACAAAGTTACAGGTGTTAAAAAACACCAATAAACATCTTAACTTAACGATTTTAAGTTAAGATATCTCGAAAACTGAGGGTAATGGAGTAATTCCAAGCTCAGATTTTGATTCAGCGCATCAAATTGTGGGTGTAAAAATATGTGGGCCTTTGATAATTTTGCCTTACTATCCTATAATTAATGGTCATTAATCTGGAAGGAAGAAGAACTAGAACATGTAATCGAATATCTAATTAGTTAAGTTCATTTACACGATTATCTCTGGTACGTGAATTGCTTAATATGTTGTATGAAAATGATTCAATATTTTATTCTTAATTTTTCAATTTAATATGTTTTGTATATATTTTTACATTCTAGAATTAAAATAAAAACTCGATGTTTATAATAAAAATTTTTATGCACAACTCGTGTACTTTACATTTTTATAAAAAGTTCGTTGTCCTTGTTCAGGAAACTCATATATTATTAACGCTAATTTTTTCCGTTTAACGTGATATACAAAAGTTGAAATTGATATGGTATAAGCTCACAATTTTTCTACAGTCGGATAATTACTTTATGAGATCAATAAAATCTTACTTCAAAATTTCAATGATAGATATTATTCTCAGTACTACAAGAGACAAAAAGACAAATAGAAGATAAGTTAAAAAATACAAATTTTTGCGGAAATCGAACAGCAACGCAGAAAAACTTTGAACGAATGAGAAACGAAACAACACATTTGTTGTATTATTTATATTAATGATAATTAATTGGCTCTGCACCAGAATTGTTAAAACCATAAAAATTATACTATAATCTCAAGACTTGCGAACGAAATAGAAGCGCAGCTAAGTGTTATTATAATAGCGCGTACAACATATTCAATAATAATCTATATTGCGATTCTTGTAGAACTGTAGATTCGGGTAAATTTCATCGAATCCATTTGCATGTACAATAGGCAGACGTGAGAATACCTCCACACAATTTCGAAGGGAGTACTGCGTATATATGTAGTCATACTTGCCATCAAGCCTGCATCCGATAGGAGTGTAAATCCTAATAAGGAAAATGAACAAATTATATACGTTATTACTTGATTAATATACCAAATGCACGATATTAGAATTATTTTGCCTGAAAAATTTTTTTCCGCTATTACATGTATATTATACATTCAGAAATATATTATGATCATATGCATTAAAATGTTATTCTATTATAGTAGAAATGGAAGGCATGAATATTTTAGAAATATTTCTGTCATGTGCATTGTACCTCTTTGTCTTACAATGTTGTTTTTCTGAAACAGATACATCATTGACATCGTTTGAAATATAATTCAAAGACTTTTGATAACAGAATAAAAATAATGGTTTGAAATGCTATAATTCATTTTATTCTATTGACAATTTATAGACTGAACTATTATTACATGATTATTTATTATAAAATATATTTTCATAAATTCCAAACATAAATACTAGTCTGTTGCTATATCTTATCATGTTTTTCAGTACGTGTTATAGCCTTTTATTCTCAACTCACCTACAATAAATTAGAGCTTAATCAAAGGTTGAAAAATTATTGAAGGAAAACTATATAAAAAAAGTCTTTGAATTTATATCACACTTTTTGAATCATAATCATATCAATACATATTGATAAGTAACAATTCAAAATTTAAGCAATTGGACCAGAAATAGATAATTATTTATGCAGACCATATTATCTGTAATACAAATGTTTTTTTAAATAAACCTGTCTCCAATACTTTCCACGATGAATAAGATTTAATAGGGAAATTATTTCATATCAATTATAGCACTAAACAATTATTTCATAAGCAATAAATTGTTATTGGTCATATGAAACATTTGCAAACATATCAGTTAAGTGAAACAAAAATAAAATAAAATAAAAATCTCAGCGTAGAAATTATCTTAAAAAATAAAGTGACAAATATGTATTACAATATTTTTATTATGTATAACATATTTACATTTGTACAGTGATTATTTAGCAAACGCCAAATCTAAAAATATAAATAATAAGCGAATCGTAAGTACATACACATGATACGCACACGTAGTCTCACAAAACAATGAAGTCAAGGACATTAAATAGAATTGAAAACTATTTATATAAATTTCACGCGTGTGAAAATCAATTTAATAATGCCCTTTAACAAAAAAATTCATTTTACAAAATTCACAAACTAAAATCAAATTTATTCATCAATACAGGATGAACATTATCTTTTTTATATAAATCACTCGTTCATTCATTAATTAATTAATTCATTCATTCATTCGTTCATTCATTCATTCATTCATTATTAGCTAAAAATAATCTTCTAATAAAAGATTTTCACGTTACTCGCTTCCGTAATAAAACAATACTGTTGTAAAGCTTTATGGCTGGGCCTAATCTCAAACCCATTGTAGATACCAAATCTTCTTGAGTCAGCATGAGAAAACCATCGCCATCGAGATTCTGCAATAAAGATATATGATAAACGATAGTTATAATCATTTACAATTATAGTTAACAAGCGCTTTTAAATATATTATTTATTTAAACTTACATGCTTTCTAAAGACGCTACCAATTTCTCTGCAATTTGGTAAACTTTGAATAAACTTAATTACTTCCTCACTGGACCATCTCCGAGGATTTGTATTCTGTTTTGATACAACTCTATTTAAAGCATTACTATGCTTTGCCCATACATGAGGTGCATCCGGCATAGGATTATATCCCGGATTATAAACGGAATGATAAAGTTCCATCCGTAACTGCTTATCTGGCATAGTTGGAGCATATGGCGTCGATGTTGACGAAGTATTATGATTAGAAGTAAAGGAAGAAAGGCTATTTGATTCATCCTGTCCAAATTTCCTGAAAATAAAAAAATAATTATTGATAAACAATTGAATAGATTTTTTATTTTGTTTTTCAAAAATATTGCATTTGTCAGTTCAATTTTGAAATAAAAATCGAAAAATATTCTTAGAAATAGGCTCTGAATATCTTTATATCTACCTTTTCTTTCTTTTTCTATAGATTTCTTCTTCATCCGTTTGACCATCACTATTAATCCTCCATTTGCCACTCAGTCTGAAAAAAATTAAGATAAGTAAAGATGCTCAATAATTGATTAAATTTAAATATTTTACTTGTAAAATAAATATATATACCTTTCAGAAGTGTCAATTTTTTCATTTTTATCAGATGAATCGCCATCTTCTTGTTTGATAGTTTCGGTTTTAATTGGCTTTTCTTCGAAAGATAAAAGTCGTTTTTCAAAACGATCAGTCTTATTTTTCTCTAGTTTTTCTAGTTTTGGTTTTTCTACTGTGACTTCTTCATCGAAGTCATTCACTTCGTGTTTCAAATTTAATCGATCTGTAATCGTTTTTATTTTATTTATATTTTGTGGTGAGTATGGGCAACCTGAAGCAGAATTGTGCGTTGCAAATTTGGGTCCTTTGACATGTCCGATTCCTCGACAACCAAAAGTTCCACATTCTGGACGTTCGCTGAGGTTATCTTGAGCTAAATATAATAAGCAAATATTTTTGAGTTTATTTTTCCGATATTATTACAAGTGCAATTAATACGTTTACTATAGTTTAGATTACTTCGAGAAAAAATTTTGTCATTCATTGCATCAGGTTAAAAAAGTTATGAAATATAGTAAGAGCTTTCAACTTTCAATTGTTCAATTCTTACTTCTACTGAAATACTCTATTCATTTTGAATTCAGTTTCAGATCTCCAAATATAAAATATTATAATTGCAATAAACGATACTGTACAAATACATTTCTAAATTTAATATATCTAATGTATGAGTCATTTTAAAAATTAAACAAATTACAAAAATATAATCTGATTCACAATCAATAAAAATGTGAATTAATCAGAAAATACTTTTTTCATACTTTATACTTTCCTTATACTTTATAAAAATTTTTCAGAAAAGCTTTTCAAACTTACAAAATAATTATATTTTGTTCTCAATTCGAATTTTTCTTGTTAGATTTATTGTTTTATAATTTAAGATAATTGGAAAACAATAATATATATATATATATATATATATATATATAAGTTTAGATTTTGTTTAATAAAGTGAAGAAGAAACTATAATACCAAAACTAGAATCAACGCTTTTGGAACTGGGAGATATAATTCATGCATAGATATTTCTCCGATTTTTCGTCTTACAGAATATAAAAAAATTTTTATTTTTGTTTTTTTTTGTAAATGGATAAAAAAAGAAAAACGAGCAACTTACTCAATGGAGGTTCTAATGGATGGCCAGTTTTTGAACACCATCCCATTGGATGAATATCAGGCGAGTCATCATCAACCCAATATCCATGATTTTCAGGCCAGCCGTCAAATCGAATTTTGATCCTATTAGAAAAGCAATTCCTGTATTAGCTCGATTATTCTTGTTTTTTATTGAAAATATGTTTACGTTCATATAGCTTACATGTGATCTTTAACATCTTCAACAGTTGTGACTCTTATCAATTGTGGTAACCTCTTATCGACTGCTTCAAGCTTCATACAGCGTTTGAATGCGCAAGGTGGCCGTTGTTTAAAAGCTCGAGATGGAGCTGCGATACTACCAGTACTTTTTAAATACGCATCCCACGAAAAAGATTTTGCATCTTTGAAAACTGTAAATAAAAAATACAATATAGTATACATGTATGTCAATAATGCATAATAAAGTACTTATTAGTTATAGTTTTACATTTCAATATTATATGCATCGTTTACATTATCCATTTTAATACTATCTGTATTTCTTTTCAAATTTTTCAGAATAATATTCAGTTTTTATGACAAGTAGTAATAAGTATATAAATATATTTGTTGTTGTAATATATTATTTGTCTATAAACTCTGAAATTATACTCACAGTTAGGAGGTGTTAAACTACGTCCATTATGATGACACCAGCCGATTGGATGTATATATGGTGAGCTTACATCTGCCCAGTAATCATATACATCATCCCAAGAATCAAAATGCACAAGAATTCTTGAATCCATAACGTCTGCTACACTTGCCACACATACCAATGAAGAATGCTTACGATCGACAGCTTCAAGCTTCATTCCGACACGAAAACCGGTTGGAAGCATTGACTAAAACAAAGTTAAACCATTTAGAACTTCAAATAAACATATCAATTATACAATGACTTTTTCGATAATATTCATTTTCAGTAACAAACGATAGTTCGTGATTCTAATATTGTACTTACATTTCTGTTAGAAAAAATAGTTTTTGGAACTGATGTAGCTTTACAAATTTTGAGATAAGCGTTCCAATTAAAATTATCTTGAGTATAACCTTTAGGAGGCTGCAATTTGTGTCCATTTTTTTCTGCCCAGCCAACGGGAAAAATATCCATACTATCAGCATTGACCCAGAAATCAAAATTTTCTGCATACCCATCAAAATGCAATCGAAGTCTGTAACCTACAATTTAAAGTATTTTAATAAATTTATTTATTTAATAAGCTGAATAAGCACTCACAACACATATTAATACTTACCAACTACTTCAGCAACTGTCAGGACACAATAATGCGATGGATTATTTGGATCAATACCCTCCAATTTCATACTAACTTTAAAATTGTTTTTAGTATATGGGAAAGGATCCTTGAATAATTTGACTGGTGCTGCTTTGGTTTTCGTATGTTCAAGATATTTTGACCACGAAAATCCTAACTTGCCTGTTTGCCATGGGTACTGCAATATTCAATCAAAAGTATAATTATATATCATCATAGATGGAGCAATAATACTAATAACAATAAGTATAAGGCATACCTTTGACTCTGAATCCCCTTGAGTTTCGTCATCCATCAGAGAAATATTTGTATCTTTCGTATCTTCATCTGTATCAGGCTTGGACTTTTCTTCCAATTTGTCAAATGTATCTTCACTGTCTTTTGACTTGTCATCATCGTTTGCCTTTGAACTGAGGTCTTTATTTTTTTCTCTTTCTTGTTCTTGAAGCAATTTTTTCCGTCTTTTCTTTACTTTCATTTCTTTACTATTAAAATAAATCAAAATAATTATTATGATATAAGAATTATTTAAAGATTAGAGTTAGATATTTGACAATTGTACGTGTTCTTTTACATACTTTAGTTCTTTTTCTTTGCGTAACTTTTGTTGTCTTAAATCTTCAATGTATTCAGAACACGAAGGGCTGCAAGAATTTGGGGTATGAAATTCTGATGCTAAACCATGACAACCACATCCCTCACAACAATAGAATGTGTCTGCTGATACAGATCTTGCTTTTTTATCCCCTAGCTTTTTTTCGTTCACTGTAGTTGGAGAGCAACTCTTAGAAGAACTTTGTGTTAGGCATTTGTTTTCTTTGTCACCAATATTACTATCTCTATCCTGCTTGTTGTCTCCTTCGTCGACAACTTCCATCAATCCAAATTCATTCATACAAAACTGCATAAAATATAATATTAAAGAAAATAGAAACATGATGTATCTTTTAATAAGTATTATTAAATAAGTATTATTAAATTAATAAGTATTAATACTACTTTACCTTCAGATTACTACCAGGTAATGAACCGACACCATCTTTCCATTCTAAGGCTTTCGTGGCATCATAATTTGAATCATTCTGAAATAAAGTTGTCTGAGCTTTAATTTCTTCATTACTTTGTTTTCCATTAACTTTTTCACATTTCTCAATAATTTCAATCTCTTGACTATTTAATTTTCTAATAATTTCATCTGATATGGAAGGACGTTTAAGTTTTTTCTCTTCACTTGGAACAACTTCTATAAATGTTATATCATCATCGCTTTCTTTGCCTCTCTTCTTGTCTTTTTCTTGTGTCACGTCTGGACTACTCAGCGTATAACTAGTCATTTCCGACGTGTCTTGCAAAGAAGATTGTAAATCTTGCTTTCTCACTCGGACTTTTTCTCCTGACCCACGTAGTATATTGCTAATTGTTTTTTTCCGTTTTTCAGAATTATTGTCGTCTTTTTTAGGAATAGGAGTTATTACTGCCGAATCTGGATTTTCAGTTATTTGTATACTATCTGATGAATTACTATTACTTTTTGGCCCATTTAATAAGCTCATCTTAGATATTGGATGTAATGGTGGAGGGTTAGATGCCGCGTTTGACGTCTTCGATTCTCTCAGAACTAAAAATTAGATATTGATATAAAAATGAGATGATACAATATTAAAGTAATAAATAGATGAAATATAATATGACCAATACAACATACCTGTTATCGCACCGGAATTAATGTGACCGTTATTATATTTGAGGTTCAAGTTTTGTTCAAGACCGAGTCTCTTCTTTGTAATGGAAACACTTTGTTGTGGAATACTCATAGGCAATATGATATTGGTCATATGCTTAGGAGTTTGATTCTGTACATTCCTAGTTGTTGTATTAGCTGTTGGAGTCACATGTGAAATAACTGGTGCAATAACTAGTTTTTGTGAAAGCTGTGCTGCAGATATTGATCCTTCATGGACAAAATTATAAATAAAATTAAAATTATCACATTTGATTACTTAAATGATAAATCAGTTCAAATTCATATTAATTTTTTAAAGTAAGAAAAAATGAATTATACTCAGATTTTAGTTTATCGTAATACGTTACATTAATTTACCTTGAGGTATTACAACTGTTTCTTGAGGTTTAGGTTTAATAAAATAAGCAATACTAGGTGCTGCCTGAGTGTGAATCTGACTCTCTTGAGATGTACCAAGAGGCATTATCTGTGCACTAGATGCATTAGACTTACGTACTAAAATATGTTTCTGAGTTTGTGCAGGACTTGCAGGATTAACAGAATTTATTTGCCTTCGAATAGTGATTGGCTGTGCAATTTGATTTTGACCAACTTGACTGAGGCCTTGCAGTACAATCTGCAAAAAAATGTAAAAAGAGAAGGATAACACTAAGTTATTGTTATTTTAAGGAAAGATCTAAAAACATTAATTGAATTTTCAGGAAAACTATATATTTCTAAAATAAACAACAAAGTTTTTATCGACAAGAAATGATTCACATATCTGTCACTATGAGATGTTGATACAAAACTATTTAAAATTATTGATATTACCAGTATCTTTTTAATAATGCTCTGTAGTAATTTTAAATTATGATACATTTTTAACATAAAAGTATCTTCACAATATTACATTACAAACAAGTATCATTTTAATAATGTTGTGATTATCAAAGTAAATAAAAGTATACGTATATTACTATGATAAGCTATAATAAAAAATTATTTAATCGATTTTTTCAAATAATAAACTAAAAATATTAACTTTTTCCATCGGATTTATATAAACAAATAATCTCTAATTATAAATTCAAGAAATTATGTAATAATTTAATGTTGAATTCATATTAGAATTATATTTGTTCAAAACAGCGAAAAAAAGATGAACAATCAATAACTAGGTTAAAAATGTATAATAGTCATGCAGTGAAATGTTCCATATTACTCAGATTGCCCTAATTTACCTTTTTTATAAACGTCAAAATTAACAAAGAAAATGAATAGATACAACATCTATAGCAAATTATTGTTTATCATTACAATTATAAAAAAAAGAGATAATGAAGCTTTTCGAACGTAAAAATCATTGACATACGTAGCAGTCGAATAAAAATTACGAAATCAACGAAGAATCCCGACGAGCAGGTAGGAAAATAACTATAATGGCAAGATGTATTAAGAACGAAGCAAAGTATACTTATAGGCACGGATAATGTTGGATATTTACATGACTTTATATAACAGTTAAAATTGTCTGGATGAATGCACCGAAAATTTGACCCTCAAAGTGTAGTGCAGAGACACGCGTACTTTTAGTGAGTTTTCAGACGAGCGATAGTAGTAGCAGCATGGAAAAGCAAATAGTGAGTGGAAGCACGCGAACGCCAAGACGAGAGCGAGTCCTATTTAGTATAGGCTTAATAGCACACTGCCGAGGCATGAGAGGTATAGTAGCACGTCAGTGCAACGCACGCAGCCGCGTAAAGGTGCGTACACAGCGCCCGGCGCGTATCTTCGAATAAGCAGGTGCAGCTGTCAATGAGAGGAAAACGTACCTGATTGAAAGCAGCGATCTGCGACTTGTTGACCACGTGGAATTGCGATTGTTGCTGATTCAAGCCGTTGCCGTTCTCCGAGTTGCTCTGTTGGATGTACAGCATCGACATTACATGGGTGGCTGCTGGATCTTCGGCGTTGGCGGTGCCAGAGGCGACGGTCGCGCAGGCTGTCGTCGTTGCTGCTCCTACCGCTGCTGCTGGACAATTGCTGCCCACGCTGCTGTTGCCGACTACGCTTGGCAAGACTGCAGCAGCAGCTAGCTCCTCTAAACACTTTTCGCCAGTGTCTTCAACAAGGATCTCCTCCATTCTGTAATCACACACATTTCACGCGCGTACTTGAAAAAAATGCACATACACATTCTCGCTTATCGAGCATATCATTGCCGGATTGCCCGCAAGTGAGCTACATCTCGTTAGTCATTTGCGATTCTACGAGTGACTTGATAATCATCGTCTCTCCACTCGTTCAACGTTACATTTTTCAAACTTCTCTTCACGCTCATCGCTGTGCCCAGTGCAGCTAGAGCGATTAAGATGAAGCTGAGCTATGTAGGATATTGATTTTGATCAAAAGAAATAATTAGAGCCAGCCAATGCTCTCAAATGTTTTATATGTCACGCAGTTTCAGAATTTTCTATGAAAAATCAGTTTTATGCAATTTGCAATTGAAACAGAAACTATCTGCAAGATGAACACGTGCAACGTGAATTCCAATGCAATATGGTCATTGCAGATGGTCTCGTGATCCAATCGAACTGTCGTAAGCGACGAATATGTTGTTGAATAAAGCTCATCCGAGTTATACAAGCAATAAATGCGATATAAATGTTGTGTACTGAAACAACCATCCGGATGGCTTACAAGCAGGTAATAATTTTCTTTAATGATCCCTGATAAAACTAATATGAAAGCCGCTTCGATCAATGACACTAACGAGGACATTCATTGTCAAATCCAACATGACGGATAATTTTCACGATTGGTTCTAAAGACTCGACGAACAGGTGTAAAGCAGTTGGCGAACAAAGAAAATTGTATGAGATAATGTAGCAGGGTGTCATTACAGCGATCACATGATCGACGTGTGAGTGGCCCAGGTGAGCAGCCGAAATCGCTATCGAATCGTCCATCGTGTCCATCGAAGCTAAAAGACTGCTTTGCGGCCAATCGACATCCGATCCCTCCCTCGCAGCAATGCTGGATGCCCACAAATATGTATGTTACAACGTCGTCGTCGTCGATCTAGACCATTGTTGTGCATGCCGACATGGAAGCGAGAGACTCGGCAAGCGACGACGCTGGCGACGACGGTGATGGTTTTGGTGTGCACGGAAAAAATCGATGGCTCTATCGCGCGCGCACAGCAGCTCGACCAGCTCGACTTCACGCGGTACGTGCTAGGCACTATCTAAAGACACGGCAACGAGAGAACGTTCTTGCCGCAGCGCTTCGATTATACCGAACACACGTGCGCGCCGCGGCAGAGTCTCTCTCACCAACGAGTATTTTTCGCTTTGCGAGCACGGCTTTTTAAATTTGCTGCTGACGATTCCGACGACTCACTTGGCAAATGCCAGTGGTTTTTATATTGGTTCAGTTCCCCCGAAGACGATCGCGCCAAGCGAGAACGCACAAGCACAGAGACGAAGCTTACTCGCGCACCACACTCGAGCGTTTGTCTTGAGACGCTACTCCACCGAGCGAGCTGATTTCACCGGGAAACTGGTCACCTGCAGCCGTGCGCGTTAAAGTCTACATACTTCGCGTCTGCGTATCCGAGCAACAGAGCAACTTGGGGAACCACCAGGCAACTCGTTTGGACGAACAACCGACGCACGCTATTCTCCTCCTCGAGGCACTCGCGCCTACTACCAAATAACGAAGCAGACGTCGACAAAAGCACGTACGCCACGGTCTGTCCGAGATGCGATTTCAAAAATTTATCCGTCGACGGCTTTTCAAAGTGTCGCCCGAGCCTGATGATCCACGCGAGTGATCCGTTTTTCACGCTGGGCCGCTGCTGCTGCCAAGCTACCAGCACTCGCACCAGCACTCGAACAAGCACTCACTGACTCGCTTCACGGCGCGGCCCGAAATCCACACCTACACACCAATTCCTAGTTGTGTGCGAGTATACTTGTAGTTGCGCCTTGCAGCGTTGCCGTGCAGCGCGCAAATCGCGAAAGCGCGCCAAGTTCAAATGCCCGCTCGATGCCATGTCGCCTGTGTGCAGCTTGTCGCTTGATTCGTCGTTTAGTCGCGTCCTACGCGCTGACGACCTGATCGCCGCCGCAATCGTTGCAACTTGCACGTGTACCACGACAGTGCGCGAATGAAACTCTGTCTTGTTATTGCCTAAAGACTCTATGGGTAACACTGGTGCCATTACATTTCTATTTTTCATGAAAAGTTGTTGACGCGCGTAGATAAATGTCGTTGAGAACGCACTTGAAAGATCGCAAAGATCTATTGCAATGCGAATGATTATTGCAAAAAAAAACGAATATTTGTTTATAGGAACGCTCGTGTGGATAGCTCAAAGCTTCTTCCTCGTTACGGAATATTTTCTAAGGAAGCTAACACCTTGCTCCCCATCGCTTCGGCTTTCATGAAAATCAATTGCAAATTCTTTAATGTGCGCTACATTACTCACATCCTTCCTATACCATAAGAATTTCGCTACAGATTTTAAATGGATACACGTGGTTGCAAGCTTGACACGTGTTATTTTATTGTATTATTTTGTTATTTTGTTGAAATTGATCAACGCACATTTACGCACATCTACATCGGCTACACGAGATAGACCAGGCGAGTTGATGCAGATGGCGCTTGAGAAGGGCAGATCCGTACACGATACGTTGGCACCTAGTCACTGCCACAATGAATCAAGAGAAAATTTCAATAATAGAATAGATATGTTAAGCAATGTCAATAGTTACTTTATTTTAGCTACTTACAAGCACTTTCTATCTTGCATATTCATCGACCGACACTTCTACACACATACTTGTTGAACGAAAGCTTAACCTGCACTTTTTCAACACACCACTTCGCGTTATTTCTTACGTAGCTTTTATTCTTATTGTTTGAACCACTATCTTTTACAATTGCTGCAATCTTTAAATTTCCATGGGAATACTCTTGTTATTTCAATTTGAAATAAACGTAGTTCTTGAAGTAACAATAACAAGAAAATAGCAACGTTATAGTTATATTTTATAAATATGTTGTTAAATGTAAAAGAAACTGTAAGGATTGTTTGAGTGGATTTTATTGTAAACGGATCATATGAAAAAATAATTTTATAAGCTGAGCATTAACACTTATTAGAGAAAATTGACAAATTTGCCTGTAACTTGAATTCAATATCAGGATTTGGACGGCATTATTATCGTATAAAAATAAACTAGAATTTCATAAATGTAATAATGAAATTTGATGCTTCGAATGCTCGTATGGTAAAATTAGAACAACGTTAGCATCAAAAAGTAGTATACAATCAGCATTCTGCATTTTAGCGCAGTTGAAGAGTGATTGCATAATAGGCGGAACTACACGTATTCCACCGTGTTATCTTTTTCAACTTTACAACAATTTTTTTTATCTGGATTTAAGCCATCAGTTGAAACTTCGTCTAAATAAATTATGATACTAGCTAATAATAAAAATAGCTAAAATGAGCATGACAGTGCAAATGGATTAAAAGTGAAAATTATTAAAGACGATTGACAAGAAAATTTGGTAGACACTGTATAGCTACATATACACGTACACGTGATTAAAAATTGACTAATAAAAACCAAACGTAAAATCTTTGAAATCGTATAGAAGTTGCTTATTCAACGTCAGCATCACTTCTAAGTATTTTGGAAAAAGTAATTGAAAGAAACGCATGAAATATGGAATAGTGAATAATACTCACAACCATTTGCAGATTCGTTTTTTTAACAGGGCATCACTTTGAAATACTTCCAGAAATTAAATAAAGCAACAATCAGTTAATGAAAAGGCTCGTAGAGTAAGAGTGGTTTTCATGAAACTACAACGCCACAGCTCGTGGAAACGGCCAACTACAGTAACCAATAGCATAACGGTAAATCTTTCTCTCCACGAGCGGGACGCGATCGATTCGTCCAGCGGTGCGCGCGCGTTTGGTATCCAAGGTCGTATGGCGCGCACACCAAACTACTTTCTTTTTTTCTTCTTTGTAATTCTATTATTGTAAATATACTTGTTCTAAACTGCCTTAAAAGTATATTGATGACGGCGTATCTTCGGACGCCATTGCTGATCTCAATTCCAGTCTATTTTACAATTAAAATTTTCCTCCGAAAAGTGCATCAATCTAAGGAGACTACAGCACTTGTTACATTTTTCAGTAAAATTCGTAAATAACGCAACTTTCATAGTTTAATTATATTTTTTCTCATTCACGACTTTCCAGTCAAATGATGACGAATTTTAAGTTTTAGTTTAAGAAAATAACAGCAGCGTCTAAAAATCTTTACGAAACTGCGCAAAAATTAATTGCAGTCAATAAAACTGTAATTAACAGGCATTTTCATTGCACGGTGTTATCATTGACAATTATCCTGATGCATCTTAACAATAGATAATGATACACAATACGCACTCTTAAGCTACTTTTTTATTATGCTACTTATGTCAGCTTTTGGTAACTTCAAATATGCATCGCGCAACACGGCCTATGACTCTAACCTATAAAACTCCAATTTAAACTGCAAGTGTAGTTTAACACTTTTTTTCAATATTGTCTTACACGCAAATATAATTTATTTAGAACTGTAAGATAAACCTCTAAAATATTTTTTAAATAAAGATTTTTTCGTTCAATTCTTTTTTAATTTAAAATATGAATAAACTGGAGATAAATTCACATCTCAGAATTCTATCAACGAAATTAGACGTTTTATGCGTACTACATAATATAGTATTTTTTTTACTTACAGATATGATACTTTGTACTTTGAGGACAATTCTTGCACTTTGGCTTCCCGATAACAATAACTAGAATCACAACTTTATAAGCCGCGGCAACGTGTAAAAACAAGCATGATCACTAAAACTTTTATGGAAATCCAAACAAGTTTAGCGTAGGTCATGCGCGTGGGCACGCACTGTATATATATATGCGAAAATGAAGCCCGCTCTTGCTCTCGTCTGGACGATTTTCCCCGCCACGAAGTCTCCTCCCCCGCACAATGATTATTCGCTATCTTTTTCTCCCTCTCCCTTTCTTCTCTCTCCTCACTCTCGGTCTGTCTCTCTTGCTCTCTCTTTCTCTCTCTATCTATCTCTTTCTCTTTCCCGCGTGTACTACGACCATGCGTATTGTGTAAATGTGTATTCAGCAGTATTCAGTAGCTTCACACGGACAGGTAATGCGCATGCGCGCCAAAGGATCGCCCTTTTCGCAAAAATTTTGCAACATCCACATCGTAGCTACATGTGTATGTCATGTATGTTTAATCAACATGTATTATAATATTTCAACATTTTATTACATGTTAATTTACTACAGCACTATTACTAAATGTTATGCATATCCAGTAACTAGGCTTTGTTCATTCTAGTATTTTCGAATTCGTCTGTTTAATTCGTCACGTTTACGTACGAGTTACCGAGATTTCGTAGAATTAAAATAAATCTAATAGCATTTTTGTTGCAATATAAAGTTTGACGTGCACAATTGCCTTGAGACTGATTTTGATAGAAAATTTCATATCCATATTCAAGAACTTGCAATTTTTTTTACCTGCACTATGAACGATGTACCAAAGAAACTATGCTAACAATTTCACGCATATAACCACGCGACGAATATACTGAATTATCTCTAACTATATCTATCATTACAAAATTTTGATATAAGTTCACCATATCAATCTTTTTATGTTATCCAATACAATTAATATTCTCGATAAGCTTGTTTCGTCCTTTATTTTGTGTGTGCCCAAAAAGAATATAAATACTCACTGCAATATCGGCGAAGAGTACTGCGAAGTGTTGCTTGAAGGTTTGCGTTGATGTATGATCGACAAATTCGCCACTAAACTGACTTTTCATTGAAAAATAGCAAAAAGAGGGAACGGCCGGGACTTGCAGTCGGCTCGCGGACGCTTTAATAGCGAAGGGAGAAATGCAGGAGCATCACCAACTCTGCGAACCTTTATGTCACTGAACGGCACACAGTCTGGAATTAAAGTAAAGTAACCATCTAAAATTAAAAGATTGTACTTCGATAATTTTTGAATTAAACAACTGATTACTTTTTTTGCACAAGTACCACTGGATTTCGTGAGTAGTGTAGTGCTCTCACGTTTAAAAGTTGTTAGGTCGCCATCAGCTTTCGATTGCAGGTGTGTGCATGAGTGGTGTATACAACACACACAAGCGTGTGCTTCAGTTCAATCGTTCGAAGACAAAGCTGCGCATGCGTCTTGACACTCAATCTTGACGATTTTCGGGTTCAACACACACGTCGTGCTAATATTACGCGAGTGCAAGGGAGAAAAAAACAAATGCCTGGAAGATTCTCTCGCGATCTTATAGTCATAGCTATATAACTGCCTTAAGTCTCATCATTTTTCTCTTCCTTTTCCCTTTATTATTTATCTTTGTATTTTTGACCTGTTTGGTAAATATTATTTTATTTGTTCGATTTACATCAGCATCTTGATCTTCATAAAATCTACCATTAATCTATGTATTATCTAGAATAAGTACATACGATTACATACGTATCCACATTTGGTTTTACAAGAACCATTATATAATTTTTTATTTTATTACAGTTTATAAAATAACACTTATGACTTTACGTACTTGGATAAATAAGCTATTTTATAATTTACAGATCTACAAAAAATTATCTTGTAAATTATTTTTACAGATGTAATAGTTTATGAAATATATAATTACTATCTATTATTATCTGAGAAATTATGAAAAACAAAATTAACTAGACTAAAAATATTTGTACTATTCAAAGACTAGTTAAATAATTTTACTATACGGTTTTGAAACCATATCTATTAGAAATAATATAAAATAAACTGTTAATATTCAGTTAAAACATGCGTACATAGTTCAAGGCGCCGAACCGGAGTTTTAAATAAAATTTCGTCCTAATACCGTTTGATTACTTACGTTACAGATCAATTATTTTTCATATCTTTTATGAATGTATTACCGAATTATCCTATTTAAAAAAAGGGAATCTTCGCACCTTATATGCAACATGATTGGTTCATACAAATAAAGAGCGCGAAATTTTTAATTTTCATATACTTTAAAATAGTTGCATTATAAATCTAGAAGTATGTGATTTACATTTTAGCAATAAATTCGCTTTATGAATAATCAAAGTAGATAATAATCTACAAAAATGGAAATATACAATTAATAAATCATTTTAAGATAATAGAAGGTTATATTTCGATATCAGTATAAATCAATAATTTTATAACCATCTAAGATACTAAAATTAATAATGTCTTAAAATTTGGTTGAAATAAAGAGAAAGTGAATAGAATAGAATGATGGAAAATATATTCTTATCTTTCGTAAACTGTAAATTTAGAGGTAAGTGGACAACGGAAACTATAATTATCAGAATATTGAACTTATTAATTTGGGAAAGTGTTTACGGGTGTTTTCAATGAAGCAACAAAAAAACATACTTAATGCATAACCCGTACTAACATATTACTTTTAGGTATGCTAGGTTCACTATCTTACAATAGTATAATAACCTTAATATATTTTATCAATTACGAGTTTAATTAATTTTTTAGATTATTTTTCCGATACATCTAGATTAAATGAGTTCATCAGTTATTGTGAAAAAATCAGTGTCAATTTTATTTTTGTTTCATTAATAAATATCTATGAATGTAGTGTTTCAAACAGCATGATTTGTCTATGCGTACCAATAGAATCTTAAAATTGTCATGTAAAAGGTTCAAGTAATTTAATAAATAACAAAAGAAAAATATAAAAGAAAGAACGCGTGAAGTGCTCTAAATATTAGTGGAGTAAAATTGAGAATAGAAACTCGAACAAGAGAAAGAACGAGACGGAAATAGACTGGATTCTAACCTAATAATGTGCTCAAGACAAAGACGGAAGTACGCAACTACGAATTGGCGCTCCAAGCTAATGCCTATAGTGTCGAGCGTGCATGTAGTGCGTCATATTACGGTCCACCGATAATGGTCGCATACTGAAAGAAAAGAATTGTGTGACACTCAAAACGATTCCATCAATTAACGAGGCCAAAGAATGTCTATCAATTTGTCGAAACGGATTTAAAAAGTATAGTTTAAAAAGTTGTCATCATCAGCTGATACCCTCACGATCGTATATAGAACTGCAGCCATTATCAACGACGAAAGTTGCCAAGACGGACAAGAATAACAATAACAAATCCAAGCTATCTATCATATAACTACAACTGATATCACCGCAAAATGTTGTTTGTGGGTAAGACATTATATTTTATTATCGTTATTAATGTCAATCCATTAATGCAGAGCAGATTGCTTGCATATTTCTCCACTCCGCGGACAAGAAAGCTATTTATACATTTTTTAAGCAGTACAATGCGCATTAGTTTCTAGTTTTTGTGTATATCTATATAGGAATGGTGATGAATATTTATGTTATATAAGTAAATGAACCACTGTGTTAAGCTTCATTTTATCTACATAAATGTATGTTATTATGATTTTGGAAAATTTTGATAGTATGGCGTCACATCGATTAAACTATGGAACTATGGTGTGTGTTATATATATATATATATATATATATATATATATATATATATATATATATATATCTTGCACGAGCGCCCTCTTATACAACGTATGTGCCACTATGTGAGATTTCATGACAGAGATGTAAACAATCCAAGAATTCGATTTCTTTAATCAGCAAAAGATATGGCTGCGTACTTTGTGATCAGGTTTTTTTTAATTTTTTTAATTAATAACGTGCTCATTTGCGGACGTTAAGCTGGACATCCACTTCAATCTAGCGATTCATTACATTAAATAAACATCTGTACATCGGAAAAAATAATTTTCCTGCACAAATATCTTATTATTTTTAGCTCTAAGAATAGTGTTTAATCGTAGTATAAAATATTAGCAAGCATCTATGAAAATTATGTTATAATTACTAATATATGATTATTAATTTTTTTCAGATATACAGTATTCATTGGTTTAATATATACTCATCAAAATGCTAGTAGCAAGAGTATAACTTACCAATTAAATAGTTTTGATTAAATAAAGTTAAGAAAATCATATGTAAAGATGGGAGGTGCATTTAGTAGTGGGCAAGACAATGATGAACTTGTAGACAATCTTGTTGACTCTGGATATATCAGATCAAAGAACATTGAACAGGTCTTTAGAGCAGTTGATAGAGGAGATTATTTTCTTTCCTCACACAGAGATAGTGCTTATAAAGATTTTGCTTGGAAGCATGGTAATATACATTTGTCAGCACCATGCATTTACTGTGAAGTCATGGAAGAACTTGCTCTCAAACCAGGGCTTAGCTTTTTGAATTTAGGTTCTGGAACTGGATATTTAAGTACTATGGTAGGCTTGTTATTAAGTAAGTATATTTAATCTCCATAGTGTTATTATCTTGTGTTTTAACGTTTTCCAAATGACAATGGATTTTTGTTTGTTATTATAGCCCAAAATGGTACAAATCATGGTATTGAACTTTACGAAGATTGTGTTAGATATTCATATGATAGACTAGATGAGTTCAAACAAAAATCTTTGGCTCTCGATGAGTTTGATTTTTGTGAGCCAACTTTTGTTCAAGGTAAAAAAATTAGTATAATTTTGCAATGCTACACTGACTACTCAATGAATTACTATCATAATAATTTTTACAGGGAATTGTTTGAGTGCAGTACCTGGACGTAGATATGATAGGGTATATTGTGGAGCAACATGTCCTGAAACTCATGAAGAACTAATTAAGGAGTTTGTGAAAGTTGGTGGTATTTTAGTCATGCCTTATAAAGACCATTTAGTCAAAATCAAGAGGGTGGATGAGTCTAAGTGGGAACAAAAAATAATACTGCCAGTTTCTTTTACTACTTTGATTATTCCCCCAGCAAACGAGTCACCATGTCAATTACGTAAGCTAGAAATCTTGATTTTCAATAATTAATCTTGGATTCGTTTACTTACAAACTAAAAAATGTATTACTACTTCATTGTTTACTTCAGGAATATACAAAATTTCCTAATGAAATTATATGATTGAATATTTTTATTCAGATTTAAAAAAATTTAACGTCTAAATAGTGAAAATTACAATTTCAGCTGATTGTCATCCACTCTCTTTACAAGAGTTATGTCGTGGTAAAATTCGCAGGCGACTCCGCCATAATGTTTGGGTAGAACACACAGACTTGGAAACGCGAAAATCGATCTCGTCCCAAAGGTGCCGACCAAGTCCACCTCATCAAAATCTACGTCAATACGTCATACCAATTTTCGAAGAATCTGATGAAAACTTATCAGACGATAATGAAGAATCTCGCGTACGTGAGAATCAACTGTTACTTAGCGTTGACGGTCCACCAGGTGAAAATTTGCGTACTACATTACAATTTGTACGGGCTGTCATTCGACCGAACAATACCGAAAACGGCGATAATGATAATGATGAAGATGACTATATCAATTGGCCTTACGAAGAAGAATCTCCGAGTACAGAGGAAGATACTCACTGTGATACTAATTTTAGTAGTGAGAGGGAACGACAGGACTCTGAGAGCAGCTCCGAGCAGGATTCGGCTTGCGAAAAATTTCAGTCCGAAGAAAATAACGATGATAATATCGATAAACTCGATGGAAGGCCAGGACCAACTTCTGGTAAAAATAACTTTTAATCTTACATTATACTTCTTTCTGATTTTAATGTCATCGTATTGATCTTTGTTCGCGTTTTGTACAGGTTTTTCCGCTTATTCAAATATGAGTGAGAGTGAGAGTGATCAGGATGATGACAACGAACGCAATGCAAATCGCGAGTCTCGTTCATCTTCAGATCATCAATCAACAACTACACATAGAAAAAAACAAAATCGTAGAGACAAAGGTGACAGTGGTATTGTGGACGATGTTTGCAATGCTGGAAACGATGAGGCTAGTTTTAGTTCCGATTCAGAATTTGCACATGGAACACCAGTGAAACACAAGCGCAGCTCCTCCAGTACACGAGATAATAACGACAGAGATAGTGAGCCGACCAGCAAACGCAGCCCATTAAAAACGTTAAATTGCAGTGATAATCTATTCACAGGTCATTATGTCGATACAAATGCTTTTTCGTCTTACATGAAAGAGAAAATACACCAATTACCTCTGCCCTACTCTGTCAAGTTATATGTAAATTACAATCGAAATTTGTAATTTTTATAGACTATATAAGTTTGAATAGAAGTATGAGAATACAGTACGAATGATTTGATGCTATTTGAAGTTTTAAAAGTATAAAAAGATCGCCTAATCTGTAATTTTGTATTTCTTAAAATTATACTTTCGAAGTAAAAAATGCTACTCGTTATACTTTCTGAAATGATATTATTTTTCAATGTACTTGATTTAAGATATATACATATATATATAGCATATAGCATATATAGCATATATAGCATATATATATATATATATATATATATATTATGAGAAAGATTCAAATACGCCGTTTTATGCATTTTATTTTATGGATTATCTTTGAAATATGTATGTATATATGCACATATAGACATATATATGCTCGCGCGCGCGTGTGTGTTTATAATTCATCTAAATACTTGTTATAACTTAAACTTTATGTAGATATATTTTTTAAATAAATAAGAATGTAAATAAATTTGAAATGGAAGGCATGGAAATAATATCGTTAAATTATATTTTGATTTGCTCTAAATTAATTTTCCTGTTGATTGTAACATAATTAGAATCATACAAAATGTTATATTACAAATTCATATTTAAAAATACTATATTTTTTATTCCATAAAGTCAACATTAGTGAAAAAATTATTGCTGCTATATATTAATCACGAAGAGTTTTTTATGATAATTATCGTATTTTTCGCACACAATTGAAAATTTTGAAATAAAGTTATTGAATTTGTGGCAAAAAAATTTCAATTATAAATGTAAAATGCGCATATCATAAATGCTGAATAAATGAGTCCATTATCGAATTTAAATATTAAATACTCTTACGGATTATAATTAAATGTATTTTTGTAATTTAAGTTTTAATTTCTTATAAGTTTAATGGGTTAGATAGAAGGTAAAAAATTAGTAAAATATAATTGAATTAAGCTTTATAAATTTTTCGATTATTGTTTGCACGATTTCGGCTAAGATCATTTGGAAAGATTTATTAAAAAAAAACTGTCTATCTTCAAACAGAGCGTATCAATGCAATATGGGAAACTAATCTATGTAAATGACAGTTTTATTTAAATTAACTTAAAATTATTAATCGCATGGATTAGTTTTAATTTGTAGATAATTTTAATTTTTGAGATACCATGTAACAAAATGCTGTTAGGTACAATCGTTTCTTATCGTTTTATCTTATATTATGAAAATTTTAACGGTTCACGAATGATTCACTCAACAGCTATATGGAAAATCTATATAGCCTAAATCAGTAACAGATTATTTTATATATTTTTATAAAGCCTATGCAAGTTATACGTGTACATACTATTTTTTTTAATCTGTTATTACATAATATAATAGTTATTCCTATTGACATCGGTGTCACTGTATGAAAGCTTATCTACAAACTTTTACCTAACGTTTAATTTATTTACTGGGATAAAAATTAATGTAGTGATATGAAGAAAATGTTAATGGAAAAAGATATTAATTAATTACACAGATTTATGATTAATTTTTAGAATGTAATGGAATACAATTTTAAGTACAATTTGTTGGTCAATGAACAGTTTTCAAAGCTGAAAAATGTTATATAATTGCACTGAAAACAAATTTTGAAACACGAGGAATACTTTTAACATGCAATTTCCTTTAGTAACTAGATCGTTTCGTTGCAAGGAAATATTACCTTTATTACGTAAAGAATACTTTTGTAACAAAAGTATTTACTTAAAATTGAAGTCCTTTTGGTACAAGAGGAATGTGTTTTCTATGCATTGTTGACGGTTAAAAGTATGTTTAGTTTTAGAAAGAAGGGCATTTGACAGTCGAAGAATAAGGGATGATATTAATTAAAAAAGTAAAGATTCGAAATCAATACGCAATTTTAGAGTAGAGTAAAAAGGAAAAAGTATGGTATTATTGCCTATTACAAGTATTGCGCATTATAAGTTAAACTATAATGAAACGAACTTTGAAAGAGCAGCCTATTATTGAGGAAAAACTTTAAATTAAAATCTGCTTAACAAAAATAGATCTTTTCTTTTATTGAAAGACTCTCAAATTGATGATATCACAGGTATGATTTTAACAGAAATAATTCTCATACTTTATAGTTGAATTCTGGAATATCGTTTTGTTAGAACGATTATGCGTTCACATTAGAAAGTTTTTAGGCGTTATGCAATTTCAGCTCTAAAATTGAAGAAGTTCTGCTAGTTTGTAACTGATGACAGCATAATGTAGTAATACGGAATTGGCTTGCCCTGCGTATGACGTCGTCGTGCAACAACTTTCAAATAGTGATAAAACTTGTGCGTAACTTGTCAAGCTTGGCAAAATGCACACTGTAACAATGTGTCATTGGAAATTTACCGTTGAAAAAGCTCTTGATTCATAATCGTAAAATATTCAGAATATCTGGGTGAATCTTACAATAGTACTGTTTGGACGAAAAAATAAAATGAATTTTGTATATTCGATTGGAAGATATCTTAATGTGTTAAAATAATATCGATCGTGGGGTTTTATATTCTCTTTCTAAGGTTTCCGCAAAATGTAGATTACACATAAATAAAAACTCATGTACAGCAAGGGAAAGCTCAAGGTTAATAGGAAACAAATGGGCAAGCATGAATGTTCATCACGGGCGTTTATATATCACCGTTGGTATCCTAGTAAATGGGTCACGTATCTAGTATTGAGTGTGTAAACATTGATACTTGTTTGCGGACTGCAAGTCGGTTACAGTTTGATCTAGCCGTTTCAATTCGTCCGCGCACACACGAAGAAGTGAGTGAGGATTGACACCAACTGCGCGTAACTATACCACTAACATTTCTCACTTGCTAGTTCCAGGAGAGTTTTAGTCAACAGAAAAACTTTAATTACCCGGCCGTTGCACCATAACTCAGACAGTCTTTTGCCGATAAATTTTAATCAAGAATCAAATGAAAGATCAAAGAGAAGCAGAGAGAGAGAGAGAGAGAGAGAGAGAGTGTAGGTGAGTTAGCAGCAAGTCCCTTAAGCAATAATCTCAGGGAGCGATTGAAGCTGTATATATACGAAGGCAATATACAAGTGCGAGCTATATACATAGAGAACTCGGCTTAAGCCCTTCGCGCGTGCGTCGCGACAAAAGTGTAGCCGAGTACATATCGAGAGAGAGAGAGAGAGAGAGAGAGAGAGCATGAAGGTGAACCTTACTCCGAATTAGCTTACTGAGCCTTGAACGCTTGAATGAGGTTGTCTTCGCCTTTCTTGCACGCGGTCTCGTGGCTTTACTTCCAGTCCCCGGCTGTCCGCGGAAGGGCTCCGTCGCGGCGCGGTTTGGATACAGCAGGCCTGCTGGTCGAACGTCGTTCTCTCGAGTAAGGAGCCTTGTGGAGAATGGATCTTCATTCGGAAATCGAAAATCGGTATATACAAGCAGAAACCTATATTTTTAGAGGTTTTTTACTTGTAGAGTCTTCTAGATAAATCTTGTGATAAAATTAATAGAGAGAGAGAGAGAGAGAGAGAGAGAGAGAGAGAGAGAGAGAGAGAGAGAGAGAGACGAAACGAAAAATATCAAACGAACCAATTTCTCTCTTGGAAAGGTAAAATAGAAAAAAAGACGAGTTAAAGCTTTGGCAGTGCGCTGTCACGCCTGGCTTGCTGGCGCCAATTTGAAAACATCGCCACAGCCAGTGAAATAAAAAAGAAAAAGCGCGGATAAAGCGCGCTCGCAGGCGCTTGCACGGAATTCCATTAATGAATGGAGCTCGCGTCGCGCACTTGCGCACTCATGCAGTCACAACCAGTCGAAAGAGCGAGGCGTAACGACGAACAAGCAAAAGACTAAAAATCCATCCGTCGAGCAGGCGACAAGCAGATTAGAATCAATAGCTCTCGGTAGCTTGTGGAAGCACCGATATATGCGTGTCGCCTGCCTCGCGCCAGTATATGTGCGAGCCAGCCGTCGCATATCCTGATAGCTCTTTTGGCTTGCCCGAGCTGCCTGGAGTTCGCGCTATTGCCTATAGGCTGATTGAACTTCGATTAATTTCACGACCACTTCTCCGGATCGCATTTGCCCTACGCAGGCTTCCGCTTCGTATGTACGAGCACCCTCTGCCCCTCTCGCTCTACCCGACTGCCACTGCTTATTGGATTTATTTTTTCCTCCTTGGTTTAACCCGACAACTTTTTTTCCTTTTGTTACTTATCGCACACGCTAGACTGCGAACTTACTCGACCGAAAGTTGATAAGAGATCGTACGTTATACTCTCTGCCAAGAAAAGGAACGGCTTTTTCAACTTGCCATTCCTTAAAATCCTCTGAATATATGATCATATACTTGATACCTGCCTAGAATAAAATACTACATACTTTCACTTGTCTTCTGTCTGTCTCTCTCTCAGCTCTCTTTCTATCTCGGCGCGACGCTCCACTCTATATGTATGGAAAGTACTTCAGACTGTTGCTGAAAGCAAGCCAAACTTTTGGCGCTCATTCGATCAATGTGTCTAATATTGCATTTGGCTCGAGTGATTATGCGTTCGTGCGCGCGTGCTTTGCAAACGAACAGTTTACAGTCCCGATACATATTAATAAACTAAAATTTATTTATATTATTTTGTTACACTCCTTATATATTCTTCACAAATGCATTTTCACGTACATGAGCTAGCATTCGTTGGATCTATTCTTTCTTCTTCAATACTTGATTAATCTCAATTTATTAAAAAAATAAGAAATGCATTTAATTATAGACAATTTATATAATTAAATTTTAAAGTCATGATCGCAGTATCTTGCTCTGAAAACTAGCTATCGAACAAAGCTCTTTATTATTGATTAGCTGAGTTGCTAACTATACGTTAAATATCCTTGAATTATAACTATATAAAATAAAGATATTGAAAAATTGAGCATGAAAAAAATGCATGTACGGAATTTATAAGGGTATGAAGTGTATGCCAATGAAATATTTAAGAAGTTTAAGAGCTAAAGAATGCGGTGTAGCGGTCAAAAATTAAGCATGAAGCTATGCTACTAGAAAGGATAGCAGCCGTATATATTTTCAGGGGGGCCACAGATGTCTTTTCACCCGTTTAAATAACTGATAAAAGAAGAGACCACAGGCCAGAGAGGCAAAACGTAGTTTCGTGGTCGCGCACAACTTCATAGCATTTTTATTTAATGCAGCTGTTACTGCCACGATGTATAAACCTTTACGTTTTATTATTTAATTTTTTCTTTTTGCGATACAACTCTTGAAATGTAGCTCTAAGCTTTTTATATAAATAAAAAATTTCTTTTTGATTGGATCACGAAAAATAATAAAAACAATCCGCTAAAGTCTGAGGAGTATTTGCTGTATAATAACACTTCAATTTTGTGACCTTTAGTCAATAATTTTACCAACCACATCAGATCCTCCATTAAGTATAAGGTAATATTACAAATGTATGTTAAAATTGTTTAATTATGGACACGCGCGCACACACACACACACACACACACACAAATTATTGTAATTGTTGTTGTTGTTGTTGTTATTATTACTTCAAGAACTACTTCTATGTGGAACGCTGCAGAACTAGTTACCTGTAAGCATTATTCTTAATTCCCTGTAGTCATTAGCATGTCACTATAGTCATTTCTTTCCCCACCACTTTTCGAATGTTGAGAGAGAAGTTTTTACACTAGCATTGCATTATGACTAGATCTACAGTTTACGGTGGAATACAAACCACCGGAGTCACGGTAACAAACATAAAGATTTCACATTTCTGAAAATTTTCATGTAACTCCGGGGCTTAAATCAACGACCACTTGCACAAAAGCCTGAGCTCTTACTTATTGACTTCGTTAATGTGTATATATTAAAATTTTAATTATTGAGTAAAGAACATTTTAATATCTGATATACAATTTCATTGCATTTTCATGTCTTGATTATGTAAATAAATTTAATATCGAAAAGTTGCAATATTATAAAAGCTGTTATTTTATTGTTACAATTTGAGCGCATTGCTTAGCTTAATATATAAATATTATAGAGTTTACTTTTATTAAGATTATCAAAAAATACTGTAAATTTTTCATATATAATGAATCATTTTCTGCAAACTAACAATACGAATATAGAACTTTAATACTGTGTATAAAATGACTTTTTACAATTTCATATTAGAAATTTGCAATATCGATAAATGAAAGTGTTTGAATATAAAAAATAAATCTAGACTATTCTCATACCTGACGTGTTTAAGTATTTCATTGTTGAACGTTCTGATATACGCAAGAGTGTCAAAATTTCATGTCGGAAAATTCAAAAATATCTAATCTGTATCGAGTTAGAAACTGATATTGCTAAAATTTATTAAGATATTTATTACGATTTATAGAGTTAACAATTTTAGAGAATATATGACACTTGCGCTCATGTCATTTTATAATGCAACGTGAAGCTTTCATAAGATTATAATTTTTTAAGGATAAAAAATTGATAAAAAATTGTAATGTAAATTTGGTTTATTAATACGATAATTGATGATTGTACAAAAATGTATTTTAACACAAGAGAGAAAATGTAATAGATAAAATTTCCAGTATGAGTAAAAGCGTAAACTATCCGATATCGTTGCTGTAAGAAAAGCCCCTGGGACGATGAAAGCCGTAGTAAACCGTTATGGTAAACATTCAGCAGATTTGCATCGAACCTTCCCGATTGCATACTTTTTATAGGAGAAACTGGTTGTAGTATGTACATTCGAAAGCTTAGATTGGCTTAATTAATTTGGTTTAATCGTTGGAATTTATACCATTAACCAACACGCCAACTTGCAGTTTTTCATAACGAAAGCAAAAAGTGATGCTTGCAGAGACTGACATTTAAGAGCAGAACAAACTTTAATAAAGCAATAAGCTTTGTGAGCGGAACATTCTGATAGAATATCGACAATCGTGCTGATGATTTAATAAGGAAATGTATATTCTTCGCTTCGAAGTTAACCAACATTTACCTGGCGAATCACTTTTAAGAGTTATTATGCTATTTTTAAAATCTAAAATTGAACCAGGTATCAGGCAAAAATCAACTATCAGTCGCCGTATTAAATAAAAAAAGCCATCATAAAATTTGAATAGGTAAACCTAGCTTTAGCAGACAAGCTTAAAAATGTAAAATTAATGCACCATACCTTTTACATCTTTTATGAACTTCTGCATGAGTCAGATTTTTCCATTAGACGTCAAGAAAGATTTACGTCGAAAATTAATGTAGCAAGGGCGCATTTTAAGCACACCATTCGGCGTTATCATTTTAAGATATATATCTCACGAAAATTACCGACTTCTTTGTATAAAGTAACCACTGCGCAATCGCATACGTAATTTTCCTACTTCCACCCGTACGTATGAAAAGAGTTTTTAAATTCAATATTCTTCAGTGCTGCTCTGAGGGGTATTCAAAAGTGACTTTCACATTTTTCATTGAACATAGTTGAATGATACGAGATAGATGTATCAATCAAATGAATTGTTCATCGGCTGACCAGCTACAAAAATCACGTAACGAAATAAAAAATCAGCTCGTTATTTGGAATCTCGCTTAAAGGAGAGAAAAAAATGAAAAAAAGAGCGCGTATTCGCTGGATGGCGTTGAAAAAGCGATAAGCCAGCAGAGGAACAATCGATTCCGGCAAATCATCGACGAGAGAGAGAGAGAGAGAGAGAGAGAGAGCAAGCTCCCGTGTAATCGCGTGCCGTTGATCACCCGTTTCCGCTACGCGAGGCTGTAGCGCGAGAGAGCGCGATTGACAATAAATAGCCAGAGGTTGCACGCACAATACGCACTGCACGCGCACAAACATAGCAGAAATGACTGTCGTTATATCGCTTGATAAAAGCCACAGCCAATTGCTGGCAGCTCTATTATATATCGGCTCGCAACTGCGGCGGGAGCAGCCATTGCTTTTTGTTCCCAAAGAGACCGAGAGAAGCCGTTGAATCGCGGTAATAGATTTGGTCGCGCCGTAAATCTCGAGCACGGCAGCGGCAGCCTACATACGCGCCATCCACATAAGGAGCTCCGGCTGTCCAGAGCAAGTCCCCATCGACGATCTCGCAGCAGTCGCCATTTGTCGTGCCACGCGTGCGTCTGCCGGTCGGCTGGTTTCGCCGAACAGAGCGGCGACGAGGCTCGATCTCCACGGCCTAGCCGACTACCGCCAATGGCCGTGCCAAGGCGACAAGGCGATAGGGCGTCTCGATCGGGTTAGCCCGGTCGACGCGTCGGCCGCGCCAGATACGACGCTGGAAGAGCTGGAGCGCATCCGTGCGGCGGCCAGTGAGCGAGAGCAAATGAGGCGAAAAATCGAGCAGAGTGCAGCCGAGGTGGATGCAGATGCGGGCGGCGGGCGCGCGAGGAATGCCGCGCGAACAAAGAGAGCACTGGCAGGGGAGATGAGGAACGAGGAATAATGGAGCGAGCGGAGAAGAGCGAGGCAGAGACAAGGCCAAGGATGCGCGAGACGAGACTCGGAGAGCAAGAGGAGGAGAGTGCATCGGCATCGCGCCAACAACAGAGAGGTGACGGCGGCGCTCGAGCGCGGCTTCTCGCTCGCTCGCTCGCCACCCCCACCTTCTGGCCGCCCAGCCCAGCCAGCCCGAGCGAGAGAGAGGCCGAAGCCGGAGAAACGCCCAGCGAGCGCAACTGGCACAGCAGTCGCGGCGAGCGTCGCACCGCAGCAGCACACGCGCCGCGTGCGAGACAGGCATTCGTCCGACCGAGCGTCGACTCGTGCTACTTGCTCGCGCAGCCCCCTGCTGCCACGACGCGCAGCGCAAGGTGCCCAACGGTCATGACGTTCGGCAGACTCTGCAGGCACGCGCCGTCGAGCCGGCGGCCGGGCTCGAGCCGCCGATGACCGCTAGGAATTAGAAGGCCTCTGCCGCTGTCCCTAGGGAACAGCCGGGATGCAGCAATGAGAGGAGTGCGCGCCAACGGCCCAGAGCAGCTGCCAGTTTGCGATACGCCGCCGACGAGTCGCTGCCGACTGTGCTCGGTGAGTGATCTTCGCGCCAGCTCGCGCTCGTTCGCGCCTCGTTCGCGCTCGTTCCTCCAACTTACTCGTGTGCTGTGCATGTGTGTGTTGGTGTGGTTTGCTGTCGAGGTCCCACCGCAGCCCCATGCATGTGCAGATTGCCGATTTCGCCTTGCGGATTTGGACGTCATCTTTCAACACGAGACTTTTGCAATGTCGTGCTCTCCCTCGTGGATTTCTAATATTACTGATTGCCAAGATTTTCACGATTTCTTTTTCAAAATAAATGTAAGTACCATCGTGCTCTGTGTCCAAGAGAATAATATTTTCGCCTTTTGCCGACTTCCAAACTGGAGAGGTTCTGCATTCGACATCAATTTTTTTCATGCATGTTCGTGCATACCTCTGAAACGGTTCAACCGATTTTCGATGGGACTGAGCTTATTTGAAAGGCCATTCTACCTCATTGCCTTGTTGGCGTTTTATTGTGAAAATGACTCGTTTATTGACTACACGCGCTAGTGGATGTTGTATATAGAGTTGAGAGATTTTTGCTTGAGAAAAATGTCAATAAAATAAACAGCGTCGTGAAAATGATTTTGAAATTGCAACGCGATGGCAAAGTACCTTTGGATCACTTATTCACACGCTCATTCGTACGCAATGTCATTGGCTGGTAAACAGATATGTCAATGTGAAACGCTGAAATATGCCGCGATTAAGTTATCATTATTCAACAGAGGCATTGTAACAAGTTAAATGAATTGATGAAAATGTCAAACAAGCATTTATCATTTTGAATTTACGCTTGTAATATGACAATGGTAATTCGTTGAAAATTACAAAATTAATCTAGTATTCACGGATTCACTGCTCAGTTTATATTTGATATCCACTTGGAGTTCCCGATAAGGAAGTTTACCAAAGTAAAAGTAGAGTTATAAGAAGATAACTCTTAAAAATTTCAAAGTATCGTAACTGAAGTAGACTTTGACGTAACTTTCTGATATCGAGTAAAATAAGAAGTTCTTTACCAAAACAACAAAATACATTTCGATCTGATTAATTTCCAACTTTGACGCGATACGCATGTTAACAGAAGATCATGGACAATGTACTTTGAACGTAATACTATTATTATGATCTCATTAAAGCTTTCCACGTTCTTAGTTGGTCTACTGGTATGCTTTATGACTAATGTGCATACCTTAGGGAATACCAAATTAGCTGTTGTGTCAGTCAAATTAGCATTCTTTTCAAATTTCCTTGCACTAAACTTACCGCTAAATACTTGGTCATGATGTAAAAGCCATTCATTCTCATTATCATCATCATCATCATCATCATGATAATAAATTAATATCCAACATTTTATTTATCCTCTCATAACTTTACCCAAAGAATAATAAAACAATCAAAGAGGGAAAACAGATTCGAAATATCAGCATTCCCATTTGCTTAGTCGAATAGTCTTTAGAAAGTCAACGGTATGAGGACTGGATCACGCAAAAAGGGGATCGCTGCAGTTGTACAAGCTCGAACGGTCCGAAAGGATCTTACGTAAAATAGAATAAGGAAGTGGAAAGCCAGGTGCTCCCGCATAAGGATTCGGAACTGAATTTCTAAGAAAGCGCTTGTAAAAGCAATAAGATGGCGATTGAAGCTAGGGAAACGTGACTAGCAGCGTTATCGATATTGTTATTGAGCGCGCCAGAGAAAAAGCAGAGAGAGGAGTACAGAGAACAAGTAGGATTTCACCGCGTAAATGCGACATTGACCATGCGAAAGGCAATGACAGTGGGGTTCCTCGTACGCGTCCATAATCAACGAGTTATAATTGCGACGACAAACAAGCCACGTGTGCAGTCCGTAAGAATAGACGCATTTGCGCGCGAGCTTACATGAGGTGAGCGCGGAGAGTCATGGCTATGTAATCCACCATTTTCATAGTAAAGGCACACGCGTCTATGTATATACATATGCATTAGAAGCGCACTTGGATCGTTGTGCTTAATCTGCACAGTAATGCACTCGGATCGTTGGATCCTGCATATGTGTGTATGCGTGCGCGCGCGTATAAGGACGCACTTTCGACGCCGCAGAGTTGCCGGGCTTTTCACCGGTCTGCCTCCAGCCTTACAGGGGCGCGCGCGTTTTCTCTGCTTTTCCTCTTCTCTCCTTTCCCTTGCCCTCTCTCTCTCTCTCTCTCTCGCTCTCTCTGCGCTTCAGCTATATATACTCATGCCACGTACTACCATCGCGTATTCTCTTCGCTACGCTCTGTCTCTCTCTGCATATATGTACACACTTCCGCTTGCCTTGTAGTCCTTTACTGCCGAATTTACTTAATCTGCACATACAAAATACGACTGTAATATTTCGCCGACGAATTTGAATCACCGAATATTTTTGATCAAACGTTTAAAACAAATTATAAATAGCGTTTCTTTGTTTCTGTCAAACCACTATTAAATGATCCTATGTGTGAGATATATATATGTACACTTCTAGAAGTTTAACTGGTCGACTTCGATAAAATATCCATTTTCCAAGTTACAATTTCGAAGAAAAATAAATCAAATGAAGATCGATCGGAGCGTGAAGTGCGCTTGATGTGTCTAGTTGATTGAAAACGTGTACGCAAGAGAAAGCAAAGCGGCAGTGGCTTAAAATAGTTTTATTACGAATATTCGTTATAATTTACTATTGTACTTTCGTGCATTTCATAAGTTCCTGACTGATAACTTTATTTAACAATTGACAGCACACGCAAAAATTTCAGTTTTCATACATTGAATTTCTCTTATTAATATTTATACAAAATACCTACATTCTAGTTGTAGACGAGGTTTTTTTTCTACTACGCATGCTTGCCTTTATTAAAGCTTTATTGGATATTGATACAACATGCCTTCGTAACTCGAGTATTTATCGTAGTATCAAACGATATTTTAAATTTAGACCTCATGAATATGATTTAGATTGCTGTGAATATTATAAGCCACGATGACATTATTTTAATTGCCACTCGGTAACCGAGCTCCTGATATCCTGATTTTAATATTTTTTTAAGTTTTTTTTCTTAATACTATACTTAAAAAAATTGTAATATAACGCAATCGTGATAAATATCAATGCGTGAGGCTCTAAAAATTATTATGACGTAACACCCAACTATTATCCATTATCTACTATTATTACTATTATTACCATTTATCAAATAATCAAGTAATTTTTGTAATGGTCAGTATGGCTGTCAATCTAGTTTTTATAAATACTTTGTTATTGTACGAATGATTTAGTGCTAGTTAATTCCATTATTAACTTATACATATGCATACTCCTGGAAGTAATTTCCACATTTACCAGTCGAATTCACGTTAAACATATCAAGTTTGGCAATTCTAACAATTCAAATTGTCACTAAATATTTCATTTAGTTAAAACTTATTCAGCAGTTATCGTACCACACCTGATCGAAAATGCAACCGAATTATTAAGTAGTTTGCGCAACACTAGAAGCAAAGACGCCGCTTTGACGAAACAAGTCAGTGTTTGCGTAGCGGTTTATGCACGACGAATGCACGTTACATTGTTTGCAAAAGCTACCTACGAATAACGGACTGAAAAGCGACAAGTTAGCAGCGCTATTAATGCGAGTTTGTGACAGTTAGTTATAAGTTAACTTTGACGTAATCAAGTCCAGCGAAGACTGACTTGGCCTCGCATATTGTCCAAGTTACCACCAACATGCCGCAGGTCTAGTATATCGACCGCAAATCTCTACAATAATTAACCTTTGCCTTATATACTAACTCGGAACAACCATTATTTCCACTATATTATGCTAACTTCACTTATGTAATCTTGATTGTATTACTTGTCGGACATCTATAAGCACATCATTTGTGTATCTGACTTTATTTACTTTGTATAATTTAATCTTAAAAAATATATCAATACTTTCAGAACGGAATAAAAATTTGTTAAAATGGTTGATATAAATTTGAGTCTTTCGAACGGTAGAATAATTTCGCCACTGCTAGTGAAGTTACACACGCTAATAGAATAAGGACAAATCCGACATTCGTGGTCAATACAGTTATAAGCTCTCGCGCGTTCTCTCGACTGTTAATATTTTATAGCTTCCATTTATCAAATTCTGTGGATAAGCTAAAAACTTTGAATACGCTGTAAATGTCAAGCGTAGCGCTAATATCTTAAAAATATCTTCGATCCCCAATACATCAGCAAATAATAACTTATTTAAACATTGCGTAAACAACCAAAACTATAATTAAATACTCTCGGCTCGGGAGAGAGGCTCGGCGTAGACGATGTAGCTGTAAGTGTCGATATGGTCAAAGCTGATATAACCTTATGCATACGGTATCACCTTAATAATCAAGCTGCATACTTTACGGGATTCTGAGTTACTGGATCGTGCGCTGCACCATCTACCACATACGTTGCGTTCTGACTTTAGCCAACTAAAAAAAAATTGATAGATTATTCTTTATTTGATAGATTTCACACATGAATGCAATATGACATTGGAATTTGGCATAATTTTATTATAATTATTATAATACAATAAAAAATGTAAACAGTACGAGTAACGCCAAATAGTTTGATTCATCTTGAAAAGAGAAAAGGAAGAGAGAGAAATAAAGAGTAAAAGGAAAGTCATGAAGTGACGAGCTTGTAACGCGCATTAGTCCGAATAATTAACTTTAATTATATTACCCTTAATGATTATTGAATTATATTTATTTGCACCGTGTAGTCTTTGACGTAGACAAGGATTATCATTGCATTATCCTTTGAATCGAACTCATAATGAAAAGTTTTGGAATCAAAAACATCATAAAAGTTTTATGTGTTTGTATGACAGCTGTACAAACATCAAGAATCTATCAAATGCGCGCGCTATATTGAAAAAGTTGTAGTAAAGCGAAGTTTTAGAAAAGTCACATTTATTAGATTATTTTTTTAACTATTTCAAACAGCTATAAAAATAT